ATTTATGAAGTTTTAACAAAGGCCATTAATAACGGTCAGTGGAAAGATTTCGCCAGATGCGCCACGTGCTTTGAACGGATATATCCTGACAATCTTGAGGTAAAATTAGTAGTCTCGTCGAGAAGAGTGATAGTAAATTATCGACAAGGAAATTTTTCAAATGCGTTAAACTTGCTTAATGAATTCAAAGAAAGCTTTCCACGGACAGAGCAACCCTTGGTTCTTGAAGTGCTTTTTTATTATTTAAAAACAGCAATGGCGCGTGTGTCTGGCAAAACTGATGAATCTCGAGAAATCTCAACTGACGCTTTAATGATAGCGGAAAACATTGAACCTGGACTTTTTACTGCTGCTCTCTATTTAGTCCTTGCATCAATTTACGGTATTAGTCAAAACGACGAGGGATTATCGCCGGAAATACTTTGTAACGAGGCACTGGAACACCTGGAGTATGTTGAAGATGCTCCAGTGGCACGCGCAGACTTGTATCATAATGCGCACATCACGTTAGCAGCATATCATCTTGGATATAATTTGACAGGAAAGATGATCAAAAAAGACATTGATAAAGAGAGCCTTGAAAAAGCCAAAACAAGTATAATGGCAATAACTCAATCAGTTTGTGACGGAAATCGACTAACAGGATACAGGGAGATTTCGTTCATATTGATTCAATCCATGCTTTACATTAGACATTCACAACTCGAACCTGGAAAGGAAACGGAATTCCTCAACGATGCACTTCAGTTCGCAAAGAAAGCTAAGAAAATCGCCAAACGTTCTAAACTCGTGGAAATGGTTTGCTGGGCTGAGACTGCAATTACTTCTTGTACTGAGTCATTAAAACGCGTTATTGCTTGCGATTTTTCGGAAAATGAAAAATATAAAGGTATAATTTAAAGTAAAGCAAAAAGTGCAACGACAACAGGAAACAGGATATATCACTACTGTCTAGATTATACCAGAGTTGTGGTTCCTCGCTAAAAGGAACATCTCATTTCGAGACAGAGGTTAATTACCACTTTATTGTGGAGGATTCGCCTCGTTCATTTTCTCTGTAGCGTCATTATACAAAGTGTACCAGAAAAGTGCAAACACTGTAATTTGCATAAGTAAATACTGGTAATTGTATAAGTAAATAGCATTTCATTGCCAGTGCAACTAAAAATACTTTAATGTGTTTTACGTGTGCATGGTATCATTACGTGTGCATGGTATCATTTAGTTATATAAAAATATCTAATTGTAAAAGAATTTGTATTTTTTATACATGATGTAACCTATGTTAGAACGTTCGTGGAATGAGAGTCCTTATCCCGAGACTAGGGAAAAACTTCGTATAGGGAAAACCCCTTTTTTAACTTTTGTCGCAGTCCAATTTCGCAGTCCACTGATCAGGTCGCTGTAAGTAGCTATATAATACATATATCCAATTGTGCATGTTAAAGTGGCAGATTCTGTAAAAAAATTTATATACATTACATCGTGTGGTAAGTACACACATCGATAAATAAATTTTCGCCATAAATCCAGTAGATTCAGGAAAAATTTGGGTTTATGTATATTCGTATTATTGCATGACGTGTGCCGTAATTTTTTATTTAGGTTTAAGAGAGATATATAGGGTACCAACGATTTGTCATTTATATAAGACATCTTATGACCATGCGGGTGGAATAACCTCAGTGTAAAACCTAAAAATGTATTTCGATTGCAATTGTTTTCAATTGTTTTACACAGCTGGATATTGGTATATGAAATTTATTTTTTTGTAATGTGATTTATTTTCGCATAGATATATCATATATTGCCAGCCATAAATTTTGCATACCTCTTCTGCAGCTCAGTTTTCTGAACATCAATAATGACACATTAAATTTTACGAAGTTTATTTGACACAAACAACTTCACATTTGCTGTGAATCAACGTGCACCAACATGCACAATTCGATCTGAATCAACGTGCAGAAACGTGATGTTAATTAAGTGTTTATCACAACTTTCGATGTATTAACTATCACTCATATCAGCTTTACCTAATTAAGCTTTTGCGTCTTAACGTTTATTTGTAAAAATTTTTGAACGTTAAAAATTTTTGTTAATTCATTGTTTAAATGCATGGCTTTTTTTTAAAGAAACGCGTTCAGTTCTCGTGAATAAAATAAGAGTTTTCCGCCCTCATGCACGGATCTCTATTTCTAATATTGAAATATTGTAGTATGATATATTGTACGCATATTTTACCTACATAGCATGGTTATATAAAATGTATTATTACAGCAACGCGTACTTGTTTATCCAATGAGGTCGAAGACACGGTGTATAGCAGGTATATCTAGTTACCCTATAGTACGAACTTTTGAAAAATAAAATATATTGCAAGGCCTCAAAGCAATTAAATCCGATGGCAATGTCAATAAAAATTAATTAAATCACTTAAGCTTATTGTTTCAACCGTTTAATAAAAAAGTATTGTCAGCAGGTGGTGTCTCAGTATGTTATCAAAGTATTTGCGCACAAGTTATAACAATCCTTTCTGAATTTTCATCTTAGGTCACCACGGTAAAACGTTTCAAAGACAAAATGCTAACAAATCGTTCTGATGATGAAGTTATTTCCATGATATTTTCGGCGGAAAAAATATCGAACGATAAGAAGTACAGAGAACAGAAGAAACAGGAGGTTGTTGTTGCAGTCTGTGCCTTGTTAAACAGCAATGTCGGAAGAGTTGAATTACGTGGTGAAGGAAACTTGGTCTCTACCACGTCACTCGACTCCCTCATTCGCCCGCTTGAACAATCCTTGACATCCCGCTTTGGAGCTCAGAAAACCAAAATTTCAGCGGAGGAAAAAGGGAAAATGATAGCAATTAGAGTCAAAAAAGCTCGCTTGCTCGTCACAATAAAATGCAATCTTTACCGTCCCACTCAAAAACAAGTTGAGATTATTAGCAAAGTCCCCGATGCGTTAGAAATTATAAACAGAAGATTTGTTGATCAACCGATCCAGCTTGGCTCACACCACAAAACATTTCTTAAAGATCAAAACTATTCCTTCAAAGAAAACGAGATGACTCAATTCAAGCTCCTAAAATCAGATTCATCAAAGCACGTCACACTCGCAGATCGTATGATTTGTAAAAGTAACAAATTCAGTTGTTACGTATCAGCGTTCGCTAACCACAGGGGTGGTCACATTTACTATGGTATTGATGACGATGGCGTTGTTCAGGGAGAGAAAACAGAAGACATTTCTGAAATTGAGAAGAAAGTTGAAAAAGCCATCCAGAAGATGATCTGGCCTGATGTGATTGGTCAACCAAAACGAGGAGAACACTGGGAAATTTTCTTTGAACCAGTGCTGGACGAGAAGTCCAACCTCATCCCATCAACGTTTGTGATCGTGATCTTTATCGCTCCTTGTTTTGGTGGAGTGTTCACAGAGGAACCAGAAAGCTATGAAATGGTGGAGGGAAAAGTTGAAAGAATGTCGTTCACAACTTGGAAGGAGAAACTACAACCTATTGGTCTAAACGAGAAAAAACAAGAAATTCCTTCCACCATGAATACGGCATTAATTCCTGCATTAAAAAAAAGTTGCCGTCAGACTTATGAAGTCTTAACAGAAGCCGTTAATAATAACAAAAATTGGAATTTTTTCGTTAAATGCAGCAAGGAGATTTTAAACAAATATCCCAACAATCTTGAGGTAGAATTAATAGTGTTGTCGAGAGAAGTGATGGTAAAGTATCGACAAGGCCATTTTTCAAAAGCGTTAACCTTGTTTACTAAATTTCAAGAATGCTTTCAATGGAAAAAGCAACCCTTGGTTTTTAAAGTGGTTTTTTATTATTTGAAAATAGCAATGGCGCGTGTATCCGGGAAAATTGCAGAAGAATCTCGAGATATCTCAATTGAAGCTTTACAGATAGCTGAAAACATTAAACCAGGACTTTGTACTGCTGCTCTTTATTTAGTCATTGCATCAATTTATGATGAAAGTCAAAACGACGCAAGTTTATTGCCGGACGTACTTTGTAGCAAGGCACTGGAACACTTGAAGTATGTTGAAGATGCTCCAGTGGCACGGGCAGACCTGTATCATAATGCACACATCACGTTAGCAACATATCATCTAGGGTATAATTTGTCAGGAAAGATGATCAAAAAAGTCATCGATAAAGAAAGTCTTCAAAAAGCCCAAGCAAGTATAATGGTAGTAAATCAATCACTAGTTGAAGGAAATCCACTAACGAAATACAGAGAAATTTCGTTCAAATTGGTTCAATCAATTCTTTACATTAGACACTCCCAACTTGAACGTGAAAAACAAACGAAACACCTCGAAACAGCATTTAATTTCGCCAAAGAAGCTGAGGATCTCGTCAAAGATTCTGGTCTCAAGGAAATGGTTTGCTGGGCTCAGACTGCAATTGGTTCTTGCACTGAGGCATTATTGCTTGCGAAGTTGACGAGAATGAAAAACATAAAGGTTTTTAAAGTAAAGCAAAAAGTGCAGCGACAACAGGATACATCGCTACAGTCTAGATTATACCAGAGTAGTGATACCTTACCGGTGATGAGATAAATGAGTGAATAATGCTTACAGTAATTCCACTCAGGAAAGATATAGCTAAGCGTTTAGCCTAAGAAAAAAGAAATTAGAGGATAATGGGAATAATAAGGTATTATATTTTAAGGCCGATCTACACGATATATGGCGTATGTATTCTACTAAATTCGTGTAAATATGTCACATTTTAAACTTCGTTATAAACTGATAAACAGAAAGAGTGGCGTCAGCAATCCTTTTCATACGTCAGAACATAGACTATCGAAGGGCACTGAAGAATATGATATGAAATAAGATATGGTATAAGAATATGAACCATATTTCCTAAAATACGATTCGCGCTAGCCCATATCACGTTTGCATTTGTCAGACACAGCGCTTTAAATGAGCGTTTCCAGTCCATTCCCTTCGATAGTCTATGGTCAGGATAAGAATCGTATATACGACTATATAATCGAACTTTAAGGCATAAGGATAACATATTTAGTATTCACATATTTTACTATCTTTGTCACAAGCACAAAAGCCTTTCCGCTCCTGGGAGTTTGACATAACTTTTAAAAGCAAAATTCTGCACAATAATGCATGGCAAAGAAAGTTTTTATCGACTTATATCCAGATGTAAAAAATACGTACGTACATGCAAAACACGTGTTGAAATAATAATTTGTATACATCCTTATTCACATTTCCCACTGCAGTCTCCATTATCAACTGAGGGGTTTTTTGTCCAATACAAGTTACGGATTGTTTATTAAGACAACTTGTGTTTCTGTTGGGTTACATAGGTTTAATTAGAGAGAGGCTAGGGGTATGACACTGGAGGGACGCGTTGAAGAGAGGCGTTTTTTAGAGTTCAGCTTTATTAGGGAGAGCAGCATAAGTTAAGGAAATGGGTAAGAGAGGCTCTAAAAGGGATGTAGGCTTAGACGACCGGTTAGAAAGAGAGAATCACGACATCTAAAGAGGGTAGATTTCTTAGAAATGGCAATTTATCGAAAGAGCGGGACCAATAGGGAGGGGTTTGTTAGAGAAAGTGGCTGGGAGAATTAAAAGAGAGGGGATGGTTTTTCATGAGACAAGGATTTCTCTGCGCGGTAATGGCTGTCTTTCAAACACGTCTTGTCATTAAGAAAGACATGTCACGTGGGGAGCAAAATAGTATTTCAAGAGGGGAAGGACACGGTCACTCTTGTGAGGGGCTCAACGTTGCCTTTATATTCTGGTTTCCTTTTTGCAATCTTTCATCATCAGCTTTCTGCATCATCAGTTTCTTTGGTTTGAATTCTCACAGTTTTAAGGTTTGTTTTTGGTGGTATCAACAGTCTGGGATCAGATATCACACTGATGTCGCTAATTATACTGTGAAGTTGCAACGTTTCCTCGTTCACCGGGAGGGGAGTTGTGACCTTGTTCTCGGTGATTTTTTCCGGAGTCGGTTCGACGGATGGGTGAACAGCTGCCCTAAATTGAGGAATTCCGAAAAGATTGTTATCAAAGTGTATGATATCAACGTGTTCATGAAAATGATATTGAAAAAACACTGGTCGTGCAACTCACTGCAATTTTCTCATCTCCCTCATTCTTCGAACTAAATTGTAGTGGCTCAATTCCGGATATCTTTTCTTGCCTGTTAATCTGCAAAAAAATAATTGAAAAACATTAATGAGCGGACCATATGAACAGCCACAAATAATACTCTGTTTATGCTGGATATCTCGACAGAAAAACCACCCTCTGCTAACCCAATGTTTCTTCAAAAAGAATATGCGATTCTTTTAGAATACTAGTGGGCAAATTCTTTGTCTTTCGAGAAATGATACAATGGATCTACGATTAAAGAGAGCTGTTGTTGTAAGCCAGGCCTAAAAGCTTTTTGAGAACCAAAGCGCGGAATATCTCGTATGTACCTATCCCAAGCAGTCTTCCAGCTGGACAGAATACTCGACGTCCAGGTCCATGCGCTCATTGTGATTCCTGCACCAAACAGCGAGAAAAGATGCAGTTCAATAATTCCGAGGTCTGGTCGACTGTCCGCCTCGCATTCTTGCGGTCCATTCTTGATCGTAGCGTCTGCGATGCATCTAAAGAATCATGACGCATGTTGTGAGCTATTTGGGAGTTTAGAGGTTAAATCAGGAGCCGAGGTGAAGTTAGGGGCAGGGGTGTAGCCTCCCCGAAATCAGTGGGGAATAACCGTCATAATGCAGGTGGAGGGAACCACCATACACAAACGCTATCTATGACAAGTGCAGCATGTTGCAGCTCTCAGAAGCTTTCGTCCAATTGGATAATGCTTTTCTATGCTTTCTAAAGAACGAAGCTATGCTATTGCTTGAAACAGAAATGTATTGTAAAGTTCAGCCAATGAAAATCATTCTTGCGAGGAGCTGCGACACTACCCTGACAAGTAGGGTGTGGGGGAGACGGGGGGAGGGGTGATTACATATATCTTAGACTGGGGGCGGCCCACTTAGAGGAGACCTCGCTTGTCTGTCGGTGAAGTAAGTTTATTAAATTGTGCAACAAACATCTTACTTCATGTATTCCCTGTAACCTTGTTCCCAGATTTTCTGATTTTGATAATCGTAGAGATGACACGCGAAGGTTGTGCCAACAAAAATGAAAGCAAGGAAGGCGAATATACCTGAAACATGGACACCATATTAAGACAAGCGTGCTGGAGTACTTTATAATGAAACATGCATGATTTCCTAGTACACATACAATTTTGAAAACAGTTGAGAATTGTAGGATTCATACCGATTCTAACAATAGTCTCCTTAATTCTGCTGGCGGATCTCAGACTTAGAAAATGAGGATTAGTTTTTCTTAGTTTCCATAGGATAAACAGCCCTGCAAGAAGAATGTTCAGTTTTTGTAATAATCTTAACAACAGGAGCCGGTTGTATCAAGCCCATTTAGCTTAAACGGTGGATAAGTCAAAATTAAATAACACTCTTACATCTCTTTTGCATGAGTGAACTTGAATATTATGCACTGAATATGTAGTTGTAAACAGTATCTTTGTATTAAGGTTAAAAACATTTAGTTTGCTTGTTGAGTAAAACGATAGACTTGCTTTCTATTTTGAACTTAACCATTAAGCTAAACGGGCTTGATACAACTGGCCCCAGATGAAGAAGAAACATTGCATTAATCACCACATGCAATAATCTGCCAAAGGAGATGATTCTCATAAGTCATGACACATACCTCTAGATAGAAATGTACCGCTGACCGCTAGGTTAATCCCAAGCGGAGCCAAGAGGAAATATATTCTCATTTGAATGTTTCTGTATCCGACAAAACAGATTCCACTGAGCGAATTACCATCGACCTGCAAAAGGGATTTCCTATTAAGTTCATCTCGCTGGGCGATGACTGTTTAGATCATGCAGACTACGTAGTATTTAATGCACAGTCAACTCTCATAACCCTCGTAAGAGATCAGGTCATTAAACGCCATCAAAAATTAATGGTGAAGAGATTCGAAAGTCTTTAAAAAAACAATGTAAATATTTTTCCTAATTTGGCCATCGCTTTTACAGTTTTAAAATCATCCGAAAACTCGGTTATGCCATAAATTTCGAGCAATATTGTTGAAACAACTGCTAGAAACATTGTAAAGTAACATGTTGGTGGGAACAATGTTAAATCGTGTTGAAATGCTAGCTCTTATGTATAGCTCTGCCTGACGATGCAAAATCATTATAGCTTTGTCGTTTGCACTCGTCTGATCAAGCAAAGCTTTTGTTGTCTCGTATAAGATAAGATTATTTTGATACAGATCGTGATAAGACTATATTTTGAACCAAAAATATTGCTAGTCTTTTTTGCAAGAGTTAAGCATCCGTTCATACCTGTGAAAGTGACATGACGATACAAGACAGGATAAGTGGTGGTATCCAGGACACGAGGTGAAAGTACAAGGCTTTGCTTGATAGATCATCTCTGGTTGTGCCCAGACTTTGGAAGCAGATATACCAGGCGTAAGACAGAACAGCGAACCATATCACTCCAGCCGTTGAGAAATAATAGACCAGAAAAAACGTGAAGATGCATGACACCGAATCTGCACCGCTGGAAAGAGAAGAAATGATGCTCTAGATTGTATGTGTTCATTCGTGAAAGATCGATCAGTTCTGAATGCAGTTTGTTTCTAAACTGTTCTTCATAGAGGTCCAGTAAGAATAATCTCTTATTGATCCAGTCATTCCAGTGTTACTACAGGAGGAAACCTAAACTAAACTAACTTTATTTATACTGGATAGCCCTATCAGCTCTAAACTGTTCTTCCTAGAGATCCAGTAAGGATCATCTCTTATTGATCCAGTGTTACTACAGGAGGAAACCTAAACTAAACTAACTTTATTTATACTGGATAGCTCTATCAGTTCTAAACTGTTCTTCCTAGAGGTCCAGTAAGGATCATCTCTTACTGATCGAGTTTTACTACAGGAGGAAACCTCAACTAAACTAACTTTATTTATACTGGATGGTTCTATCCGTTCTAAAGTATTCTCAACAGACAGACTCTTAGAGAGCATTAACAAATACGTACACTGGTTCCCCCAGACGCATCGTGTTGTCACCTCTGCAAAGAATCTTGCTCCTAGTTTCTCCGAAAAACTGAATCAGAAATCCCAAGTACGTGAGACAGAAACAGGCGTTCATGTAGAACAAAATAACTGAAGGATACTTGTTCTGCGCTTTCCAACCAACCAGAAACGTAAGCTAAGAAAATACAGCAAAGATAGTTAACTAGAAACTAGTTTGTTTCAACGGCTTGAATTGTTAAATGTTTGGAATAAAGGATGTCTGAAAAATAAACGCTAGCAGCGCCTTTTGTAACATCAAGATGTGTTTGCAATGTTTTTTTTTTGAAAAGGCATATCTTATATCATCATTGGTGGTCAACAACTAACTTGTTGGAGTAAATCCTGGCATGAACGATTCAGGCCGAAAATGTACAGATTCATCCCAGTGTGCATGCCCCGTATTCATCACTGAATAATCCATACCCCATGAGTAATGCACGTGCGCTTCACGAGGATCAACTCACCACAGTAAAAGCTGTACAGAGAACGGACAGCGAACCAAACGCGCCAATGAAACGATGAATTCGATCATGTTCCTCGTCTGTAAATATCGGATTATTACATTGGATACCACAGCCGTGAACACCCTCGTACCAGCTCTCCTCGTCGTCCGTGTTTACAAGAGGTGTTGGACAATTCGTCTTGTTGATTTTCAACGCCTAGAGTTATGAGCAAAATCTTAGTCTCATTTACGGTATACGCTGTCCAATTTTCTGTATTCACAATTACCATTCACAAATCCCAAGTTTTAAATATTTTGCAGAGAGTATTACGATAAAGTAACACAGTGTTTACCACTGTTTTAGTTCCTTTGAATATTTCTACCAAATACTTTAAAACTCATTCAGGATGATCTGAATTCTGGAATTCTGAGAAACGTTTTTGAAAATCGCCGCGGATTTCAGAGAAAATTTGCACTTACAGAACCGTGCAAACCCTGTGTACTTTTTAAGTTGTTAATCGATCTGTCTAGATTGTGGCTGACCTTTTATAAATCAAGATATGGTAGTTTCAACGAGGTTCAAGAACAGCACATTTTTCAGGCGCAAAACCTCCAGACACCGAAATAATCCAACTTAGATTTCACACGATCAGACGAAGTGTAACCGGCAATGTTTTGTAAATAATCTCGAGTAGGCGTCAATACACAAAATAATACAAAAAAACTTTGAACTGTCGATGCGAACATTCTTTTTTTAAAAGAGACATTTGTGTTGCAAAACTCAAGCTCAATTTCAACACATACTGTACGACACAGGAAAGGGTCTTCAAAAACTGCCTGGCTCGGAAGTAAAACGGATATGAAAGACCGACAGGTCATTTTAGGATTGTTTTTGTGTCTGTTTTATATCACGGCTTGTAATCTTCTGTATAAATGGATATTATTCTCGCTTGACAGCGGAACGGAAAGAGGTCATGAATATCCTTTAAGAAAATTGTCTCAATTCTCAAACAAATCTCTCGATGCGTGTGGTCCGTCTTGTGATTTTCCAGAATTCCTAACTGTAATGTCTGTCATGGCTGCCCGTTGTTTGGAAAGAGAGATGTTGTGTGACATTCGATAACAAATTCTTGTGAACTATTTCTAGAGGAAGCTGTTGTTTTAGCATGGATTGCCGATTGCAGTTAATTTGATGTGAATATGGCTGCTCCATAAGTTGGGGAAGGCTGCGATTGTACCCTATAACGAATCATAGTTATTGTAGTCAGTGCTTCCACAATTGATTTACCAAATTTCCTTTTGAGATGCTAAAAAATCCTTTTTTCCAAAAATATTTCCTTGCCAAAATTTCCAAATTTCCTTGCAAATTCCTTGCAAATAGCGGCCTTAATGGAACAAATTTTTCTCAGTGACAAAATAAACAATATTTTTTTAAGTGATACAGCTGAAATATATTCCATATACAAAAATACTTCCAAAATTCATCCAAAAATTTGGTCACTTTTTATTAAATTAACCACAGAAACTTTGATAGAAGTGTAAAATAGGCGTAGAGTATTTGGGGGGGGGGGGGGCTGAGGGCTAGAACCCCCCGAGAAATTTTAGGGTAAAAAATTTACTAGGTAATAATTGCATCATATAGCAATGTTGAATCTTTAAAAAGACATCCTTATATACACATGAAACAGTTTTATTAGTGAATATAATAACATATAATAATATATCAAACAACTTAGAAAAGCAATTCTGAAATACGAAGTTTAGATCCGCAGCCACTACTTTCTGTATTCCTCATTTTATACAGGGAGACTTTTAGCTGGGCTTACATGAAGTCTATACCTTGGTTAGCCAAGCTTTAAGCCCCCCTCCCGGAAGAAAACAAAACCCTACACCTATGAGTGAGGAAAATGGTTATATACTTGAAGAACCAAATCTTTGCAAACTTATTATTTTTTATTCAATTTTAAGTCTAATATAAACAATTTTCAAGATTTCCTTGCAATTTCCTTGCCCAGGCTAAAATTTCCTGTCCATTTCCTCCTCAATTTTATTTCCTTGCCTTTTTCCTTGAAAAAGCCAAAATTTCCTTTTGCAGGGAAATTTCCTTGCAAGTGGAAGCCCTGATTGTAGTGGGAGGGTTTGGAAGACCGGCAAACTTCAAAGTGACACGTGACTATTCGATACTTGAACTCGAAGAAAGACATCACGTGACAGTCAAGGTGCATACATTTTAATTTTGTAGTATAATTTTATGTTGCCGATCAGAAAATTTGGATTTTTTCGATAGTTTTACAACGATTTCATAAATATTGCATTTTTGTCGTACTTTACTTATGCGAAAGGCAACGTTTGAGACCTTTTTATGTGCTATTGGTCCAGCTGCTTCCGCTGTATATAGTATCGACGGGGTGCCAGCTATCATATTTCAAGTCACAAGTATATTTAGTGAACCTTCAGACAGCGATACTCTTCGAATAGACACAATAAAACTCAGCTTTTACGTATTGGAAACATGGATATAGATGATGAGTACGAATCCGAGTTTCCTGTTAGCCTTTGCTCCGACTTCGAGCAAACTATGGCACTTCTCGAGATGGATATTGAGGAGGTTCAGTCCGAAGTTGAACACTCGCTTGAAGAGGTAATAGAAATGGTATAGTCATACGGTAGTTACACTTCATACCGTTAGTATTACTAAAACCTTAATTGTTATTACACCTTTCCCTCCAGGTAGAAGGAAAGAAGCAGTTTCCTTGCAACTTCTGCGAGAAAGTTTGCAAATCGAAAGGTGGCTTAACGAAGCACCAGCGGAGTAAACACGTCGAACAAGTGGGTGAGAGTTCATCTTCATCTAAAATTGAGAAAAATGTGTTATCAGTGGAAAACGTGTGCTCTATTATCCGCGACATCGGTCGACATTTGGTTGACGAAAAACTTTATAAAGAGGAACAAACAGCAGAAATATTCAAGCTTTCTCCAACTGATTTATTTGTCAGCTTTGTCAATCAACTCTTACTGAAATTTAAAAGGAAGAGAAATCAAGACAAATTTCTTACAGAGTTTTATGGAAATTCATATGCCAACTGGAAAAAATTCTTTCATCCTTATGGAGAACAGAAAATAGTTTTTCTTATGTTAATCCATCTTCCCCAACGCCTGATTGGATTCCTAGAGAAAGGTCAAGATGACCAAGGAATATCAAAGGTATAGTTCTTATTTTAGATTGTTAAAATCACAAGTATTTTGCCAGTCCTGATAACCTTTTTTGATTTACTTGTTGACTAAATTTTAGGAGGAGATGTCCCTATTACCTCATGAATATGGACCATTATCTTACCTTACTGGTTATGTGATACGATCATTTTACCAAAAGAGCAAAAATTGTTCCAGAAGCAACTCCGCCCGCAACAAAGAAATTCAAGCTTTAATGTCATCAATGAGACAGGAAACAGAGAGGAATGAATATATTTCATCTTTATCAAGAGGTGGACTTTGGGCACCCCATGAATGGATTGTTAGGATTGCAGAGGTTGCTGAGTTGGCATTCAGAAAGAGTACAAATAAAGACAAGGTTACTTTTCTTCCAGTAGACATTATAGTTAATGAAGTATTAACTTCCCCTCTTGTTAAAAGCTTATGGAACAATATCATTCAAAACTGTTCTGTACAAATTTCAAAAGAATGTCAATGTTTATGTTTGGAAAATGTAGTGAAACTATATGTTACTGTCAGATCTTTTTCATTGGCTAAAGATATTGTAAATAAGTATAAACTGAGTCAACATACTCAGAAAACTAAAGCTCTACGAAAGGACCTGAAGAAAGCCAGTGAAGTATGCTTGTAATTATGTCATAAGTAATCTAGCACATTTGAGGTTAAAGGTTGAATAAATGGTGATTTGATACTCTATATAATTATTAAGTTTACAAGGTTTCTCGAAGATCATTATTGTACATTATTAGTTCATAAAAATTGCTTTCAGTACAGCTACAGTATGCAATATTTAAAAGAGGCTGTGACATCACATTACAAAAAATAGTGAACTCAATGAAGTTACTCATGAAAATAAAAGCTTCCCATATGTATTCTTATGTATATTAAAGATGCAATTTGAAAAAAACAACACTCTTTATTAGGCAGTCAGCACATTTTGCTAGTCTGTGACAGATAGTATTATTATTCTAAACCCACAGATGCCTAAAATTGAAAGTAAGACCTTAATTTGTGTTACTCATGCACTTAAATTTCAACAAAGCTCTATTTCAATAGGGAGGGGGGTGATGCAGCCTGTATATGTATTGTCTGAAATATTAGTGTCAATCAGTTAATGGTTTCTTCTTTTTTACTATTCTCTTGGGCAGCTGCTCATCGCTCACATTGCACCACTTACTTTTCTTTCCGGAATGCCGTCCTGATACATTCCCCTCAATTGATTTGGGTGCAACATCTCGCAAGGTGGCAATTCTTAGGTCATTATAGCCAAATTCTGCAGCTGATGGGTTGTCACTTCTTCGTCCTTGGGCACGCTGGTAGCCAAAGTACTCTTCAACGTCATCTTGACAAAAACGTTCAGTCAAAACAAAGTCAAACCCCTCACTCAACAAGAACTTGGTTGTTGCTATAACTGATTTGATTGACATCTTTAATCCACTGAAGGTTTGGGTACTCAAGAACATACGTCCTCTGTCATCATCAGTGAATGCTCCTTCTCTCAATTCTGTCGACAATTTCCAATTGTTTAGGTATTCCAGAAAGACATTTTGCAGCCAATTGAATCTCTCGTCATCCATACTTCTGTATGGAGCTAATAAAGCGTTGCGCTTCTTCTGGTGCTCGGTGGTGGATCGAACATTCATGCAGTCAAAAAAATCGTTCATCATCTTGCACAGTTTGGCGGTTTCCTCTGCTTCTCCCGATGAGAAATGGCGCTGTAGAGCTTGTGCAACTGTATTGCTCAACACTTGCACTGCCATGCTGACTTTCATCTTTGAATAGGACTTTAGGGCAATGTGATCTACGGTCAACTTAGGTAGCTGGTGGAGACCCGAATCAAGATCCGAGTAATATAGTTTGGCAATGTGTTCCCAGAGCAGGTACTTCTTGTTGTTCCACATGTAGCGTGTGCGCTTACCACTTCCAGAATTAAATAGGCAGTTTCTGGTAGTCTTAAGCAAATGTGGTGCATCAGAGAAGAAGTAGATTTTTCGACTTGAAGCAAAAAGATTTGGTGTGTAGTTTACCACTTCTGTACCTGGTTCGACCAAATCGGAATGCAGTTGGTAGAAGAGGCGATTAGGTGATGCTCCATCAGATACAGTGGCACAAACCCAGAGATTACACGTAAGCTCAAGTACAGATACAGCTTTCCAAAACAAAGGCATTATCTGATATGAAGTGACATCTTTAGTAAGAAAGTACGCAAGGGCATATTTAAGAACACTTGCAGCACCACGTACAAAAAATACCAGGGCATGGGTCGCAAGGTCAGACGATCCACTGCTAAGATTCAGTTCCTCTTCTCCAAGATCAACAAAGCCAATTAGTTCATTGGAGTGTTTATCAAAGACCAGCTTTGATTGGATTTTCATTTCATCAAATGAAAGGACAACATACCTCTGTATGTCAAAATACTGGCTTGTTTGATTCTTTAATCTTTCAATATTATCAGGATGAAAACCAGCCCTTGGCTTGAAGAAATTTCGGTAATCCCTGAGAGTTCTCTCACTTGGTAGTACCAAAACACCAGACTCTCGCAATTCTTTGTATGCTGCTGGAGACTTGGCATGAAGAGACAGGCAGAAACGGATGATATGAGGATGGTACCTGGCAATAATAAAAACATATTAATGACTGTATATAATAATCCATCAGGAGACTCTAATTGCCTAATGTAAAATAAAATAAGTAATATTTTTCCCAGTCTAAGGGCCAAAGGCACAAAAATGTTTTCTCACACAATCCAGGATAATAAATCTAGGGTGAACTGTTAAGAGTATTGTACAGGTTGACTATACAAAGCCACTTCTAGTTCTAGTTATTGAATTAAAGATTGGGTGCCATATACAGTCTACTTTTTCATATCTTTTCATTCAATCTTTTTTAAATGGCCTTCAGCACCCTGTCTACAATAACTTTCCTTCTGTTGTATGTCTTTTCCTATTTCAAACAACAATATTAAGGCCTACAATCATGGTGCAGTATACCTCCCAGCAGTGTGTGAAAAGTATGAATAGATAAACTATGTCATGCAAAAAACATGCTTCACTACCTTCTTCCAAATTTTGGCATAGCTAGTAGTTTCCTTTGCTGCTCCCAGAAAACTTTCATGTGGGGGGTTACATCATCACTTCTGTCAGCAAGAATTGCCAAGATATCTTTTTCCATTGTTTCGTCGATAGGGATGCTGTTGCTCTCAATTTCTTTCTCCAGTTCAGCAATTCGACCCTCAAGTTCTTTACAAACCAGCCTTTGCTGTTGAACAGTGGCAATTAACCTCTCCTTACTTGAGCCAGACAGGGGTGCATTACTTTTCAGAGGCTCTGTTCCTTTCTTGACAGCACTCTCTTTCATTTTTGTAAGGGATTTTTCCTTTTTGATACAATCAGAACAGGAGACGTTGCTGCAAAGCAACTCACAATGCTCTGACCTGATAAACACATGAGCCTGAAATGGTGGACCATCTTCTTCATAGCACTTTCGCTCAATTGGGATTGTATGTCTCATGACACTGCTGGCACCACAAGTCGGACTGGGATCTTCACATAAAGAGACAATGTGTTTCTCTTTACTTAGACCTTGACAAACTTGAGCACTTTCCAAAGTGGCCATTAGGGTAGAGATGGATGTATGCTTTAAAGATCTTTTGTGACTAACATAAATATAATGGTCATCTGGTAAAAACCAGTTGTACACAGCAACAGAAAAGGTGAGTTCAGAAACAACTGACAAGGAAAGCTTTGGTAGGGTATAAGGTGGCTGGAAAAACTCAAAAACTATACTGTCCTCTTCCCCTTTTTTGCACCATCTGTTCATCTTCAATGGTAATATCTTTTGTTGAAAGTGTTTAAAGTTTCGATAAACCACTAGGACAGGATCATCAATTTGCTGTCGCACTAGATCACGCCTTGGTGTAGCAGGAGGTGGAGGTGGTATACTCTTCACTGGCAAGTTTAAGGATGGAATTGCTCCACGAGCTAATATCTTACGAGTAGAAACTGAAAAAAAAAAGACCTACTGTTAAATATATATAATCACCCTAGCATAGCTTTTACGAGTTTCAATATGAAACACGATAGACATTGCAAAAATTACTGATAATCTTTAAAGATCAGAGGAATCATACTTTTAGAAGATATCTATTGCAAACTTTACAGCATGAGTGACTATAATCAACAAATGAACTACCTATCACAGTAACTGCATATAGACATCGTCGTAAGGACAAATTATTTACTATGAAATTTCATATGGAAATAACCCCTAAAAACGTTTGACAATTGAAATACAGTAGGCGAAATATCACCTTAAATTTGTCTTTTTTTAACAACTCCTATCTTGAGTTTTTTGGTTTACACATAGTACATTATCCACTGGGATTTTCTGACGCAAACTTGTGCCAAACAACTAATTATATGCATACAGGGGACTATTGTTTTCGACTCTGAAGGGTCGTGATCTTAAGGGCTTAAAAACCGCACCGATATGTAAATTTAGGAATAATATTATCAAATCAAAAATAAGAATATACTTACAAGTCTCATATTCTTCTTTCCTAAAATGCTTCTCACACACATACAGGTTTCCGCTATTGATTTGTCGACGCAAACCTTCGTCTACAACACGGTCCTTGGTGATAACACTTATCCAAGCTTCGCGAGTTTTCTTCGATAACTCATCTGTTTCCGAAGGGATTTTAAAAATTCCTACCCCGACGTGCTTTCGACTTGTCGCGCAACCAAATATGGAGCAATTCGCTCCTGGCATCGCGAAAAAGACGCCAAAATACAATGTTTTTGTGTCGCGCTTCCTTTAATCTATATGATTTTACGATGAAAACAACTCTGTTCGATGCACCTTGGTTCCCACGTGATTAAAGACAATAAGTTTTTTAGTCACGTGACCCGGTCTTCCAAACCCTCCCACTACAATAACTATGAACGAATGCAATTTGCGTTTTCTTGAATTTTACGCGACCCATTATTCTTCATAAGAGCATGGTAATAGTCTTCTAACTACCATGATTAGAAAGACGCACGATCTCAAATTCCTATCAATCTATCGCTCAGGTAAACGGGAAAACCGTTGTTTCAAGTGGGATTTGAAATTCGATGTTCATGTTCTGTGGTCTAGAACGCTGGTATATGTTTACAATAAATCGTCACAAAAATATTGAGTAGGTTTTCTGGGCGATTAGATTGGCTACCAAGCCTCCAAGCCCATTTGGTTCTACAGCTCAATTGGTAAAACAACAGTGTGTAGACTACCCGAGTCTGAGAGCCCTACAACGATTTATTTCCATTGTTCTTTGTGTGTGAGATTAACGTGAATTTAATATATCAAAATAGTAAACGATTATCGTCGAGTTTCTGAACAGTAAAAACCCACGTTATTTTCTGCGAAAGATTTGATAAACTCTCAGCAAAAGTCTGGTTTTAATTGGCTGCGCGATGCTGTGTATTCTTTTGGTGTTTTGTTGCTTACAAATGAGTGAAACGACTATAAATTTTGACACTTTTTATCGCTAATTAAATTACAGACACTTGTAAATGCTTGTTAAGTATTAGTTCCTCACAAATTGTGTCAAACCGACTTAACCGAGGAATAGTTTTGAAATAACCTACCGTAAGGTTGTCACAATCTTTTAAAGGGAATTTCTCGCACTCTAAAAACTCAGGCCACCCACCATATGTATGGTATTTCTCGACGACGCGACATGGCGCTCTCGTGAGCAAGCAAGCAGAACGACATGGCAACCGGGCAACCTTATCGGAATCTTTGTGGCATTCTGGCATGTAAACTCGACACAGCAAAGGTTTGAGGACCTCCCAGCAACGTGGCAAAAAACTCAGGGCTTTCCAACGTTTAAGATTTTTCTCGATTTCTTTTTGATCTTTTGAGTCGGTAGCAATGCTTGTCGTCGTGAAGTTGAACGGCAATTCAATGTCGAAACAAGTTTGCATTTCCAATTTCTCGCATTTTAACGTCTTGTTTAAAGAATTCACCTTCGCGATAAGCAAAACAAGCGTCCAGAGCATACAAGACTTCGCGTCCATCGATTCCGCACATGACAAAGCGAATTCGGTGGACTTTACGCGAATTTGCGCAAAATATTCTGTTTGGAATTTTTACTAATCCAAGAGTGGATAAACAATACGGAATGCGCAGGGATAATGTTGAACATCTCCGATGATATCTCGGTGTATCCCACCACATACCTCTTATTTCCAACTCTATCCCATGCAACCCTTCACACCTGCCATTTAAAATACAACATGGACTCCGGATTGTTCTTTTAAGGCCACAAAAGCCTCGAAACTTTCGCTTTATTTTATCACTTTTAAACCATCTATACACAAGTTTAAACCGGGATCGTGCAACGCGATAATAGAATAACATGGAGAAACTTGAAATATTCGTCTACGACAGACGGAAAGGCGATAAGCCGGAGGTCAGACTTCAACTTCCTCGAGGGCATCTAAACATCGCATCTTTCAGAGAAACGCTCCGCAAGGTATGTTTTTACGCTTCCAGTTGCCGATCTGACGATGCCGTTTATGAAATTCACTTCAGGCGATGCTATCATCGTGAATTATGCCCGTGCATCTCGTTTTTTTTTCACGAAAGCTTTTTTGTTTTGACACAGGAGTTTGACATACCCAAAGATGAGAGTTTTGTTGTTGTCAACACAAATCGAGGTGTCATTGAGTCGGATACGGCGTTGGGTGAGTCTTTGCAAGATGAATCGAAATGGATTCGTCACGTTTAGATCGTATCTCGAGTTACAGGCTTAGGAATTTAAATGACTCGTACAAAATTTAGCTGTTTAATCGACTAAATTGTTATCGCTTCGAGAGAAACAGGGCTATAAAGATGCTATAAATTACATGCACCTGTTCGACAGATGCAGCGCTTACGAATCTAACCTAAGCAAATGAAAGATAAACTCTGCTGTGAAACGGATTGAATAGAAACAAGTTAAAGCGTTGGTTTTTTCGCAATAAGATTTTGCAATCAACAAGTTTCGATCTTCTCTGAGATTGCATGAGTACAATAGACCACAGCAGGAACCAAAATCCAAAGAATTCAGCATCAATTTCAAAAGAATTCATGATTTTCTAAAAAATTATCAGTATTCATCCAGATTTTGGCAATCGAAAAGGCATTTTTTATTGTGACTCGGAAGGCTTTGTTGTCTAGAAACTAGATTTTGAGAATATATATGATATATCACTTCTGCATATGTTCTGTTGATGATGATTTAATAGTGCTTATTCATCGCTTTGTTGGGTGCTGGGGAAATGCATATATTATATGCATCCAGATCACTGACTGCAGAGTTTGTCAATGGTACACCTTAGATTGTCAAAGAACCCTGAGAATGGTCCCAATAACAATATTGGCACCTCAGTCACTTGAATTTTAGTGCATTTGTGTTGAGCTTGATACATGACAATCTCCACTTCTGCCCTCAAAACTCATCTTTTACTGCAAGTACCACTCCTTTCTTACTATTAATTAAACCTGAAGAGAAATTTCACTTGTACCTTGAGTTTACATCCTCATACTTGAAACTCATTGAAAACTTATCTCCTCAGTAGTCTAGACAAAGATCAGAAATAATACTTGAAGTGTGACAGATATAACTGTTTTTGCATTCCAAATTTTTCACATTTGCTGGAAAGATGGAAGCCATTTGTTCTTGTTTTTTGATTAAAATTGGAAGACAAACAATTTTTCATTCACAGACAAGGGACTTAGTTTGATCACTAGGCAAAAGACATGAAAGCTATAATGTAATAAAAAAGAAAGATTTTTCAGAAAGACAGCTGTCTTTAGACACCTTTCATACAAGAGATGGACATCTATCCATTCTTCATCTGTGGTCTAAACATGCATGCATCTTATCATGAAGAATTGAATTGTCTGGCATTTAAAACAGGATGACGATAGCAGTATGAACTAACGAATGATGTTATATTTATGTTCAGACAAAATTCTTCAAGAAAACAACACGCTGTACATTCTGAACTCAGTGGACCAGCAATTGAGTGCACCAACTTATGAAAGGGTTGAATACATTCCACATTACGATACCTTGGTGAAAAGTGGCATTTATGAATACTATGCGAGTGAGGGACAAAATCCACTTCGTAAGTCAACCATTTGATAATATTTTATCATTACAAAGCTCTGTTGAAAAGCATGAGTTAAACCAGTCTGTTGTCCCATTGGTGTTTAGCATTTGCCTTTGCTGAGTTAGTTGACAATGCGTTGGCTGCTACTGCTGGAAACAAAGGACTTCGAAAGATAGAGATTCAACTGGTAGGTTGAAAGATTTAGTTTATATATGTCACTCTATGTCTAAATACAAACTACTGAGTGCAATAGAAGTGAATATATCTTTATACAGATGAAATTTCTTTTGTGGTACCAGCTAGTATTCACATGAGTCACAAAACAGTCCTATGACTATGAACTATCTAATCCCCATAAACAATAATTTTGGGATATTTTTGCATAAATCAATGATATTCCCACAGATGTTTGATGATGCACTTGGCAAACCTGCGATCTCTGTCTGGGATAATGGTCAAGGAATGACATCAAGAGAGTTGAACAATTGGGCCATTTATAGACTGTCTAAGTTCAACAGGGATGAACCTTTCCGAAAGTGAGTGTCACTGCAAATATGAGTTGAAATATACCCAATATACCCAATATTTAATGTCAAAAAGATGTGTAGGGAATTTCCTTTCTGCATACAAGGGAATCCAACCTAATTTTTAATGTAATTATGACTTGCATTCTCAGGTCGCAACACTCAACTCCAGTGCAGGGAGATGTATTGAGATTTTTGAACAGTGATATCTCATGGTTTGGCGTTGGAGGGAAGCAAGCTATCTTTTTCATTGGTAGTGCAACTCGGGTAAGACTGTTTGACGTATTAATATTAGTCTTAAACAAGGTTATGTTAGAATAGACAATTAATGGGGCTCATTGTTTTATTTCACCAGATGATAACTAAGACAACTAACTGCGCTGATGTACATGAACTGTGTATCTCAAAAGAAGAGTTTGAAAGAAAAGAACAACGCAGAGAGTCAATCTACAGCGGTCAGATCTACAACAGAAGGGTAGGTTTATTTGTATCTGAGTTTGAGCAGCAGGAGGGGAATTTATATACATAATGCCTTGCCCAAATACTTTATGAGGGTCACCCTAGTACATCTCAGCTAACCCAAACATACCTGGCTCACTACACCCCACCTCACCAATTATACTTCACCCCACTATACCTCACTTGACCACACCCTGCTACACTTCATCAACCACACCTTACCCCATGACACCTTCCTCAGCCCCACCTTACCCCACTACACTTTATCAACCACACCTTACCCCAAGACACCTCACCCAGCCCCACCTTATCCCAAGACACCTCACCCAGCCCCACCTTATCCCAAGACACCTCACCCAGCCCCACCTTACCCACTTACCTCTACCCTACTGCACCTCATCCAGCAACACCTTACCCTATAATACCTCAACCACCCCCTCCCCACAATACTTCACCCCACTACACCTCTCTATATTTATCTTGTAGCCAGGGGATTGTGTTCATATATCAGAGGAAGATGAGAATGTTCGAGAGTTGATCAGATCAGAAGAAAAACACTCAAGTTTTACATCTGTTGTTGTGACTGGCATCAATTCCACTAAAGTTCTTTATCTCAGATATCACTTTGATTACTGGTGTCAACAGCTTGCGTGAGTATTGCTTTATTGACCTCAAAACTTTGCTCAAATGAACAAAAATTACGTGAAACTTGGCAAGCGAGAGTTGACTTTCATGAGCTGTTGTTGAACGAGAACAAGAGTTGCACGAGAGTTAACTAGCGAGAGTTTGTATAGAGCAGTTTTATCAACTCTTATTACGAGAAATATGACGAATGTATTTTTTTATCAGGCACATTTATCATTATTATCTTCATGGTCCACGGGGAAACGGGAAACGACAAGGAAAACCCAGCACTCCGTTCAGAAACATCGACATTCAGGTTTGTTTACGCGCCTTTTTTAGTTGAAGATTAAACAACTTTGCAGCAAATACAATAGTTGAATTGCGCGGTTTACATATATACTTAAGGTATATTTACAAGAAATACTAAACTAAATATTTACAAGAAATACTAAACTAAATATTTACCAGAAATACTAAATATACTAAATATTTACCAGAAATTCTAAATATACTAAATATTTACCAGAAATACTAAATATACGAAATATTTACCAGAAATACTAAATATACGAAATATTTACCAGAAATTCTAAATATACTAAATATTTACCAGAAATACTAAATATACGAAATATTTACCAGAAATACTAAATATTATGACAAGAAATACTAAATTTACAATTACTTTAAAAAAGGCGTGCATGCATATTATGAAAGTTTTAATCCTCAAGACTGCTTTACGAGAAAGTTGATCGCCTCTATTCCTAAATACAGTAAGCGCTTCTCTCCCATACAAAATCTGTTTAAACCTGGTTTCCAATCATCAGTCGTAAAATGTCGTGAACATGTCAAGGTGGCGGATGTGATAGAATATTTCTATGTGTGTGCGGTTAACAATGACTAATTTGAATACAGAAATAAAGACAAGCGGACTATTTCTCATCCGTCAAAATGAGTTGTTCACGACAATACAACTAAATGGAAACCTGGTTTTACAGCTTTCATATCGTGCGTGGTTTGTTTACCTTTTCTTACTTCTCTTCAGGTTGTTTTATACGAGAAAGGAAAGCAGCCTAAACGAAAAGCTTTGCGAGATATCGATGATGATTTGCAGTCGCAGTACATCAGAACCACGGCATCTGCGTTCGAGTTTCGAGCTCATTGCGAGGGAGGTGCCGTTGTTGAAGGAATGCTGAGATATCATCCTTTCCTTTACGACAGCGAGAGCTACCCACAGTTGTCGCCTAACACGAGTATGTTAAGTTATTATTACCAGGATTCGCCAAACAAGACTTATCCGGGCCACAGTCCTTTACCCACGCGTGTAGCGTGAATATGAAGTACTATCAAATATATTTTTACTATTGTTAAATGGTTTAAATTGTCTTTAATGGCTTTACTGAAAGCACTATGTTGGGCTTTAATATTTATATTTCGAATACATTTGAATAACTATGCTAATTATATTCCGATTAGAAAACACTGATGAAGATGATTTGGAGGCGTTAGTTGACAGTCGTGCTCCCAGGGGAAACAGACCAATATTTGAATGTTACTGGAATGGTAGACTTATTCCATACACATCTATCGACTGGTAATGATCTTAGGATGTATACTGAGTTTTGTGCCTCGTGAGTGTAAGGTTCTTAGGTGGTTGTCTGTTTGTTTTATAGTCTGGAGTGGTGCGCCCCGCCAAAGAAACGAACTAATATCCCAGCTGAGTGTTACAACAGGTAGATGATGTTTTATTCAGTGTTTCTCTTTCAACCTTCCTCAATGTCAGTTGATCATTGCAGTACTGCTAGTCTGACTGAGTGCTGACTGTTGCTACTAATACTAGCCTGACTAGTCTAGTACTTACTGCTTTGCAATGTTTTATTTAGTGTTTCTCTTTCAACCTTCCTCAATGTCAGTTGATCATTGCAGTACTGCTAGTCTGACTGAGTGCTGACTGTTGCTACTAATACTAGCCTGACTATAGTCTAGTACTAACTGCTTTGCAATGTTTTATTCAGTGTTTCTCTTTCAACCTTCCTCAATGTCATTTGATCATTGTAGTACTTCTAGTCTGACTGAGTGTTGACTGTTGATACTTATACCAGCCTAGTACTTACTGCTTTGCATTTTTTTTATGTCTGTTCAGATTTTCTGGAGCATTGTGGACGAATGATGCGTTTCAAGTCAGCACAAACAAACTCACGTTTCTCGACTTGGAAGTAAAACTAAAAGACAAGGCAACGTTGTTCAACAGAGTTATTCTAGGGCAGGTGCGAAAATGCTCAATTAATATACGGATAATCATTAAGCCACTGATCTTAAATCTGGCATGAAATTCGAAATCTAGATCGATTTAGCCTGATCTATCAGTAGGATGAGGGGGGTAGTCTTGAGAAGAAAATACTCAAAATAGTAAAGATATCGATTATTTTTCTAGGAGCAAAGAGCTCAGATACCCCGCGCTTTCACCGAATGGATAAAGGAATGTCACGAAGCCCACGACAAGCAAGTATGTGTTGGGGGGGGGGGTACATCGTAATCTTAATCCAAAAATTATACCATGTGGATTAAGATTGAAACTAGGATCGGGTTGAGATTAGAGTCGGGTTTAAAGTTAGTATTAGCTAGGAAGGGTTATTTTCCTGGTATTACATCAGAGGATTAGCGTTAGAAATAAGTTTAGGATCGGGTGGGGATAGAGACGGGTAAGTACTGGGATAAGAGTGGTTTTTCTTTTAATCCCCTGGGGTACATCAGAGGATTAGCGTTGGGGATTAGTTCAGGATTTGGTTTAAGATGAAGGTTTAGTGTAAAATTCAAGGTAGGTTTTTTTTCAAGATTTGGAATGTGAAATTTTCTTGTCGTCTTTGAAATCATTTCATTGTAATTGTAGGTGAAATTTTCAAACTTCAAAGGCAGTGTAAAACGAACAGAGTTAAGTCAGAAACAGCGCCAAACACCGTGGGGTGTCTTTCATAGCATCGAGTGGGATGGGAAGGTTTACAAAACCGGAATGTTGGTACGATTGCAAGCCTCTTGAATACTTCCTACATGACTGATCACAATGTTTTATTCACTGTTTCCCTTTCAACCTTCCTCAATGTCAGTTGATCATTGCAGTACTTCTAGTCTGACTGTCAGTGACTGAGTGTTGACTGTTGCTACTAATACTAGCCTGACTAGTCTAGTGCCTACTCCTTTGCAATATTGTATTCACTGTTTCTCTTTCAACCATCCTCAATGTCAGTTGATCATTGCAGTACTTCTAGTCTGACTGTCAGTGACTGAGTGTTGACTGTTGCTACTAACACTAGCCTGACTAGTCTAGTGCCTACTCCTTTGCAATATTTTATTCAGCGTTTCTCTTTCAACCATCCTCAATGTCATTCATTGTTATTTCTACATGTAGATAAAAACACAGCGGAGTATCTCCACCGTATGCGGAACAATTCAAAGGTTTTTACTGTTTGGCGATTACGAAGGCGATGTGTTTGCCACAGGAGGAGAAATGGAAATTATTCAGGTATGGTTAGTTGTGCATATAGTCTAGGGCAGGCCCCTACATTGTGGGGTGAGAAAACTGCCCCCCACCTCTCCTTGAGATACTTAAGTTTACGATGCGTGGATCAATTATCCATGACATCTTTTGTTTGATAACCTTCGCTTGTATGGCCTGTTTGTTTACACTTCCACTTTCTACAGAGATTTTCTACTGGTGATAGATGGGAACGGGGAGATAGTTATGGATGCTGTCATGCATTGTTGCCCGAACATTAATATTCCTAACTTATTCACTCGATAACATCTATCAAAAGAAGAAAATGCTACAACAAATTCCAAGTGAAGTAAAAGCCTGTACAGTAACCTTCATATACGCTTCCACTTTAGGAACCAAAGTCTCTTTACGGTGAAAAAAGAGTGTTTCCACTTGCCAAGTTGGATCGAAGTACGACCCCTGATGGGCTGAAGAAGTTTATTGCCGAAGAAGAAGCGAAGTATGTGACACGTTGTTAGTGGACGAGTTTTGATATTTTATAGGCTTGTAGGTACACCACGTTAGTATTTAATACTGCAAAGCTTTCGGTCCGTTAACCCGGGCCTTCATCAGTGAAATTGAAAGCTTTTCAGTATTAAATACTTACGTGGTGTACCTACAAACTAATTTACTTACTAACTTAGGATTGTTGTGTTTTGAAGGCTTCCAAGTAAATTGATGATCGAATGGCCGAACGGAGATGAGATAATACAGAATTCTAAAGTTCCTGCTGGTTCAACTATTGGTAAGAATCTGTCTGGCAAAATTTGCCGAATGCTGTTGTCTGTTAAGAGGGATGTTGGTAAATCGTCCAAATTTCATTTAAGGTGACATCAAGGTGGATATTTTGAATGGAAAGGGAGAGTCGATCAGTAAACTGCCTGGTGATCGAGGAAAACGACTTCTCGTTGAAATGAAATGTGTCTCGCATGGTGAGGGTTGATTGCAATTGGATGCACCATATTGCATTATGCTTTATTCTGCACCATCTTCACACCATATACTGTAACATACCATTACCATATCTTACCAGATAACATACCATTACATACCTTACCATGTAACAAACCATCACCATATCTTACCATGTAACATACCATTACCATATCTTACCAGATAACATACCATTACCTTACAAGAGCATTGGCACCATATCGCACCTCTCCTTAACCATATCCTGATTATGCTAACGTTTACTAATCTTTTCTCCCAGGTAAAGATGGAGACAAAACTATCGCAGAACATGTGTGCCAACATGGAGGGAAAAGCTGGCCGTACTGGTTCAGAAAATTTGGTAAACTCCTATAATTCCTTTATTTAAACTCTGATAACTTTCCCCATTCCCGAATTTTGTATCTTCCTTATCATAATAATATTCTATTCTCTTATTGATTCACAGCAAACATCACATACCTCGGCGTCCATTCTCTCACACTACGAGTTTTTGCCAGCGACAGCATGAACAACCTTCCTCAAACAAGCTTCCCAAAACACAAAATCAAGTTCACCGTGACAGGTACAGTATTCCATTCATAGTAATGGAAATAAATAATTATCCAAATACAGAAAGAACCTTCAACAATACTGCTGGACAAAATCAACAAAACCCTTTAAAGATAGCATGGAAAAGAGTATTCTCTGAAAAGTCCTTGTAAATTGTCCTCAAGAACACTTTATGTTGTTTGCAGAGGGTGACCCGGAAAAGTTTACTTTTGGTGTGCTTGAAAATCCTTTGCGAATTGCATCAGCTTTCCAGGTAAATAGCACCTCTGGTATATGAGGCTGGATTTACATACCGACTGTAATGCTTACGTTGAAAGATTTTAAAATGATTTCCTTTTATATAGATTCCGTTAAGTCTGGAGGATAACTATGGTAACCCTACGAAACCAGCGTGCAAATATGAAGCGGTTTTGACATGCAGGTATAGAAATATACGACGTATTTGAGTAACGTTAGTTTGGTCGACTATAGTCCGAGGTAACTCTGTATTGATTTCCAGTGGTTTAGAAATTGAGCACGAAGGAACGCAGGTTAAAGGAAACAGTTTGGTCATCAAAGGGGTCACTGTCCTCGGAAATGTTCCTTCCCATACAGGAAAGGTATTGTATAAAGTGTTTTGTAAACCTGGATATTTCAAGATTATTTTGATTATTTAAAGACGTAGGACTACAATCTGACTAAAAAAGTCTTCAATTTAGGATTACAATCCAGCTAAAAAAGTCTTCAACTAGGACTAGACCTAAAACTACAATCTAACTATAAAAAAGTCTTCAACTAGGACTAGACCTAAGACTACAATCTAACTATAAAAAAGTCTTCAACTAGGACTAGACCTAAGACTACAATCTAACTATGAAAAAGTCTTCAACTAGGACTAGATCTAAGACTGCAATCTAACTATAAAAAAGTCTTCAACTCTTAAGATTATAGTCTAACTAAAAAAATCTTCAACTTTCAGGATTTCAACTTGAAAGTGAGTCTTACTGGTTTGAATGATCAACAGAGCGTGAAAATACGAGTTTTGCCAGGTTTGTGATGTGATATAATGAAATTATTGAAATAGTTTTTTTACTGTTGTAAATTTGCGAAGAATTACTTTTATTATAAGATCGACATACGGCCATATTCAAATTGCAAATTAAAGACGTTGTTTGGATTCTTTTTATCGCAAAACAGAACGATTTTCAAGCTAGTTTAGTTGTGTTTATTTTTTTTTAAGTATAATTATGATAGCATTGGCTAATAGTATTCTGCCCTAGGTCCACCAAACTCGATTGCGACGGAACCATCTGATGAACAAATCGAGATAGAAAATGGAAACCCGCTATCGCTGTCAGTACAAGTCAGAGACAAGGCGGGAAATTTGACCGTGCAGCCAAGGCTGAATGTTGTTTGCAAGGTAAAGGCCATGTTACACGGTGCAATTTTACTTGCAACTCGCAATGCTATTCTACTTTTAAGAGATGTAAATTAGTGAAGAGTCTTCAAAATGTAAGTATAAGAAACGCTATGGAGTGTAATAAAGACAAGGTAGTTGCCAAATTTACATCTCTCAAAAGAAGAATTACATTCATTTGCAAGTTGCAAGAAAAATTGCACAGTGTAACAGGGCCTTAACACTTTGACATTATAATGTAGAAGAAAATTTCTGCATGCAAATATCAAATATCATAATATCCCCTATTGCCGCCTCCCCGAATATTCATGTTATTTCTTCTTATAATAGTTATCAGGCTCGTCTGGATTACCCACATACCTTTGCGACTGCAGTACCTCCGGTAAAGCCTCGCTCACAGGGGGTAACATCGTTATCAACAATCTCGTTAAAACCACCAAAGTAAAAGCAAAAATTGAGTTGCAGGTAAATATCTTGTAAATTCCATTGTGTTTCAATCTATGACATCATGTTTCCCAAATGACGTCATCAGTCATCATATACCTCAACAACGCCATCTTTTTATGCATGACGTAATTAGATGAAATTTTCATCCCTCTCCTTGCTTCTATAAGACTTCTTGTTTTACCTTTTAGCACTTCAAAGACATACCTGCGATCGAAAAACTCATTCTGGTCAACCCCAGTACCAGAGCGTCCGTTGTCGAGGTGCATTACACGGGACCTGGGCTGGACAGCAGTGTCAAGTTACAAAATGAGGAGGAACTCGTGTGTGTCGCTGGTGGAACCGTCAGCGGGCTTAGTAAGATAAATACGTTGAAATAATAAAGCACATTGTTGCTCCTATGATCTAACAATAACTCAACAAGCCGTCAAGTCATATGCCAAATATGTTCCAATGCGTACACCAGCATCCGTTGTATTTCTTCTAAAACTCTTCTCATTTCGTTTTTTGTAGGTTTCAAAATATTTGACGAAGGAAAAAGACAGCTGATGATTGACAATTCTTTGGCCGCTAAAGTCAAGGTTATAATTGTTAAATGGATGTACAATAGATAGCGCTTCGTGACCCCCCTGCCATTAAGCTAAAGTTAATATTGAAATTTAGCAAACCATATTCCTTATCTCTTCCGTATTCCTTATCCCTTATAGGTCAACTGGATTAATAAAGTTAGCCGTGATCTAATCAAACAAGGATTGTTACCTGATATCAAGGTAATGCTTTTAAAACGAGTCAATTTATAGAATGCCTCGATCTATGAGCCTCTTTTCCTTCCTAGGGGCTGTATACATAAGCCCGGTTACCCGAGATTCAACGAAACGTGAGATGATTTTGAGGTATTGAGATGAGCAGATAACATGATCCTGGCAGTCGTACAATCACCGGCAACAGTAGCATGTGCTTGTTTGGTGTCATAAAGACTTATTTCAATACCTCAAAATCATCTCACGCTTCGTTGAATCTCGGGTAACCGGGCTCATGTAAACAGCCCCTTAACGAGGATTCGTGATGTCTGGAGTGATGATGATGCTCCCCGGGCTAGTGTGTCGCTATCTAGTTCCTTAGTTTATACGTATTTTTTTCGCAGGCGCCCAATACTGTTAACGATACGAAATTTTGTCAAGTTTCACTCGGCGCTGCCTTGGGGGTGGAGTTTTCATTCACACTTGTGTAAGTAACGCTGATCGGCTGATCCGTCTCGTCTTGTATACTAACTAAGTAAAACACTCGATTGACAATCAAACCTTATGTCAAATTATTGGATTCCTTGTTTTTTCATATAATCTTTAAAACTAAACTTGCAACGGATTGCCTTCTGCCAGATCCGAGCTTCACAATTAATTAACACTGTCCGTATGAACGCTATTTATTGTAGTAAATAGTTCCCCAAGCTAGGGAGGTATTTTGCTGTTCAACAAATAAATTGCTGCTATACTTAATAATTCTTTTAATACCAGGCCCCAACCAGATGAACCAGCTACCATCACGTGCACTTGTCGTGACAACGTGATTCAGTTGGGGGATACTCTGAAGCATGACATCATCGCCAGCTTTAGTGATAAATTTGGCAATCATATAACGAAGGCAAGACATACACTCAAAGCGATTGCGATTACGATTCCTTCTTACTGAACTATATCGACACTGAATGAATGATTTAATGATTTTGTACTTGTTTAGCTCCCAGACAATGCTGCTCTACCAACTATCAGTGGACCAGGACTGCGTCAAGCGACAGTCAAAGTAGTTATGAATAAGGTAAACTATCAATCGCAAAAAGGAACCTTAACTAGACTGACTTTATTTATACTGGATAACTCTATCAGTTCTAAACTTTTCTTCGTAGCTAGAGGTCCAGTAAGGATCATCTCTTATTGATCTAGTGTTACTACAGGAAAAAACCTAAACTAAGCTAACTTTATTTATACTGCATAGTTCTATCAGTTCTAAACTGTTCTTCCTAGAGGTCCAGTAAGGATCATCTCTTATTGATCCAGTGTTACTACAGGAGGAAACCTAAACTAAACTAACTTTATTTATACTGGATAGCTCTATCAGTTCTAAACTGTTCTTCCTAAAGGTTCAGTAAGGGAGAACTCTCACTCACCTAATGTTACTAAAAGAGGAAACCTAAACTAAGAAATCACTTTGTGTAATTTAGGATGGAACAGTGTCAATTAAAAATATCCATTTTGATGACCGGCTTGTTGGTGTTAAAGAATTGACGATCAAGTGGCAAAATTTAACTTCTTATCAACGAATCGAGGTAAATGCTAATTATATGCTAATTATACGCTAATCATATAGTAATTTTATGCTAATCATGCTAATTATATTTAAAACAAACCTATTTTTTCAGGTCAGGAGTGGTCCACCGGCTAAACTCAGGATTTTGGGTCTCAACGTTTCCCAGGTATTTTTGTGGTTTGGTATTTATCGCAAGTGTATCGGTCACTCGTCGCAAGCTACTCAAATGCTCAACTACGTTTTGTGTTTTCGGTCTTTGTTACAAGTTATGCGTTTGTTCCCTTGTTGTAATAATCGTTTGTCTATTTCAGCCCATTGGTGTCTTCAGCAACGCGAAGTTCCCTAAACCGATAATGCTTCAATTGTGCGATTCTTTTGGCAATCCGTGCCTCGAGAGTAATATCAAAGTGGCTTTGAATAAGGACACCGGGTTGAAGGCAGGTTAAGGTTTCTTTCTAAAACCATCATTTAAAAAATACCATTCTCGGACTGTTTCTAGATTGCTTCATACGAAACAATTATTTTATATTTTCTAACCGTTTTAGGATACTCATCCAGTTCGATATTTTAGCGCAGTGGCGCCTACGTGCGCGCGCATCGCGCTCTCATTAATCGTGGTGTCATCCCGTTATTTCTCTTGCAGTTAAATCCAACACCATCCCCTCAGAAAACAGACGCGAAAGGACAAGTGTCGTTTGGTGCGTTTGAAGTCTCGGGGCAAAGGTGGGGGCGCTTAATTAAGACATTTCTTGAATACAGTATGCAACTGATCTGATAATAAACTGAATATGGCGTTATACATGCAAAAATCGAAGCCAGATTAATAAACAAATTATTTAATTCTGGTCTCGTTTTCGATGGTATACTTGCTTTATTCAGGTTGTTTTTAGATTAGTGCTGTATGCTTGTTGAAGTCAGACGTGTCATGTTTATTTTTTGCTTCATTGTTAAAGGGGTACTTACGAAATTCGAATAAAAGCTTTGATTGGACGATCATCGATTGACACGGATCCTATATCAGTCAGGTAGGACTACCTCTCGATGGCAGCTGTTACATGCATGCATGAATCCATCTGGAGCGCTTTTGTTTAAGACCCTCCTCTTGCAGATCAGCTGCCGGGCATGGATTGGAGTGCAAGCACCAACTGTATAAATATTAAAATTATGAGACGATAAGGTGCTATCGAAATTGCCAGAGCCTCAGAAGTGACTCTTCAAACATTCAAATACACCAAAACGGATTCTTATACTTTTACCATATTACCATTGAGGATAGTTCAGACACAAACTATAACAGCTTATTATAAAATCAAAAAGGGTCTTCATTTTAACGATTTGTTTTGCAGAATTGATGCTAATCCCAACAAACCAGTCAAAATGATTGTGGATCAATCAAACTTTCAAAATAACTACGTTGTTGGGAGCACATTAAAAGGTTCGGTTTTTAGAACTTCAAAATATTATACACATATTTTCTTCCCTCTACTATAATAATTTCTATCGTTTCTTTAGAATTCGCTGTCCACGTGCTTGCCGAAGATAATCACGTGATGAAGTGTAATGCAAAGGATTTTGTCCTAAAGCTTTGGTCAGCGGGAAACCACAGCTCTTCCTCGGAACCTCCCGCTACGGTATGTTTGTGTTTTTTGACACATGATCAGATCGTGGTCAGGGCATGGTCAGAGCATGGACAGATCATGGACAGATCATGGTGAGGACGTGGTCAGATTATGATCAGAGCATGGACAGATCATGATCAGGACGTGGTCAGATCATGGTCAGGACGTGATCAGATCATGATCACAGCATGGACAGATCATGATCAGAGCATGACTGATCATGGTTAGAGTATGATAGATTGTGGACTTATGATAACTATATATAGAATTTTGTCCATTTTCAATTACAGGCAATTTCATTCCAACCTGACAAAAAAACCGCGTCAGACAAAGAACATCATTACTACTTCAGGTTGGTTCAAAAGCTAGAAACATGGAAAGGAAATGTCTTGTTGAATTACTCTAATTATGAATTTGATCTTCCCCTTCTTAGAGATGTCACTCTTCCAGAACAGACTGGGTCATACTATTTGCTATTGTTCTACTGTCCTGGTGGACATGTTAAATTAAAAAACGATGTTGTAAGTTTTATACTGGCTTGAATTTATCTTGAACTGTTCTTCCTAGAGGTCTAGTAAGGATCATCTCTTATTGATCCAGTGTTACTACAGGAGGAAACCTAAACTCAACTAACTTTATTCATACCGGATATAGCTCCTATCCTATCGCTATACCGGACCTAGGTCTATCAGTCCTATTACTCTTTGACTGGGCTTGTATAAAACCGTTCTCACATGAGGCATTCTTAACTAATGCGGATTGTTTATTCTTCTCTCCGGTATAGATTCGGATCTCTCTACAGCCTGGACCACCTGTCAAACTAGTTCCAGTCGGCGCTCTGGCTACACCCACCGTGTCTAACACTCAGAGAGCCACGAGTCGCTATCTTTTAAAAAATACGAAGTTTTTACTCAAGGTAAAAGTCGAACGAGATAGCTACCTTTAAAATTTCTTCATTTTCTTGTACGACGTACATCACAACACATTGTCACGCCGTTGTGCATTTCAGGATCAATTCGACAACACTGCGGGCACAGATCTAAACGGAAAGATAGAGATCTGCATTAATAAGTCGCCACATTCAGACGAAGTGCCAATGTTGCAAGGAAATACCGACAGAACAGAAGTTCCCCTGGTCAACGGCGCCGCCACGGTTCACATTCTCTCGATAGAGCAAAACACTCCCGGACAGGACAGCCATGAATACGTTCTGAGTTTCACCGTTCGCCTCAGCGGACGACGCCAGACTATTCCTGTTTTTAACCTACCATTCTTGTTTTACAACGGTAAGATGAACTACGATCTCTATATGTAGACTGGAACGACAAATCGGGGGGGAGAGATTATTTTTTTCAGTTCTTTTTTGGAACAGATAACCGAAACTACTAAAATATACTACCCATAAAAAATGGCGATCTTTGCTTTGTTGTTTCAAAATAGTACTTTAAAAGTATTTTCATGTTCTTTGCCTTTGCTTATTCTTGAAATGTGTAATGGCATTTTTCACAATCGTCGTTTCTTTTCGTTGTAATTTTAGACGTGAGGAAACAACAGCAAAGCGCTCAGTTGACGAAGGAACGTGATCATCTGTTTGAAACGATCAAAGCGTACAAATCACTGTTTGATACGACCAGGCAACTCATGAACGAAATGAAAGGTTTGTATCTCGACTAAATTAGTTGAAACATCGATGCTTTTAGTTGTGGAATACATTTTGAACGAACATCCAACACCTCAACAGAAAAAGACATATCAGAATGAATAAAATTTATAAATTACGTTAAAAATGTTGTAAAGTTAGTCAATTAATATCTCCAAGCCCACAAATTTCATGTTTTTTAAGTATCCTACATAGAAAAAATTATAGCATATAGCATTTTTCGGACGGTAAAATGTTGCCTTTTTAATGCTGAATACAAATCCAGACAATATGTACGAACTTTGCAGCAGCATATTTTCTAAATTTTATCTTAATATCCGAATCAAACTTCTGAGTTTGCTCATTCTGATATGATATTTTTATTTGTGGCGTTTTCCCAGATTAAAAATCAGTCAACAGCTTTAATAATTCATTATCAGCTCTCAAAAAGCTTTCATATTTTTGTTTTCAACCATTCAGTTGCTGTCCAAGAGGCGTCGTTGGCAGAGGTCAAACTGCGTTCAGAACTAACAAGACAAAGCGTTCCAGCACAAAATCTTCAAACTGTAAGAATCTTATTGTGCGTTTTGATATTTCCAGAAATGTTTGTCTGGAAAGACGAGCTTAATGAAATAAACTTTAACTCGCTTATAAATGATTAATTTACCATATAGAAACATTACACAGTTGTCCAAAGTTCATTTGTAAAATTTTTTGGTTGATTTCAGATCGCCTCTGTTGATCAGTTTATTGGAGAGCTAGCAACGAAACGAAATACGTTGCAAAACACTCCCAGGCGGCAGTGTACGTTGAACCCAGGCCCGCGTGGTGAAGCTGGAGTGCTCGGAAAGGTGCGGTGAATGACGCCATGTTTCGCTTGCCATGCTCCATGATTTCGTACTCCAGGTATTTTAGAGCTCACTGTTTTCCATAGGTCGCCCATCTTGCTGAGGTGATGGACAATGATATTGCGAGAGTGTTGTCATGGCATCTATCAGGAGATATGGACTGCGTCATCACGCTAACTACAGAAAAGGTCTGGTATTTTTGTACAGATGGAAAACTCTCCTTGCTATAAAGATTTCTAGGTTTTAGTTGAAAGGAAATTTTTTCAAAACTAAATTAAATAATACCGATAATTTTCATCATTTTTCCTAAACGCCAGTTATTGATGCCTAATTTATCCCTTTAAATCTCTTCGCTTAAGCCTTGAAATTTCAATACCAAATAGTCTTTCAACAGCTGTAGTCGTTGGCATAAAGTCCAATTGAAATACGCCACTTGTTTATCTACAGTTATCACTCCGGTTGTTGTCTTGTTGATAGAGTTCAACGTTCTAAATGACATTCCTCTTACTCCCCCCCCCCCCTGTCTCGTTTTAGGCTAAGAAAGTGTACCGTGAATCAAAGGGAACGCAACAAGTCCTGCCATTAGATTCCATTTATAAACGAAGCTTACCAGAATGGAACAAGTAGGAACCATTTTGATTGTAATGTTCCTGTATAAGAAATGGTCTTATGTTAACCCACATTTTATTACCTCGCGTCTAGACTGCTGCCTCATGAACGATCCAGGTCGAATTCTCAACCAGCTGGGCATCCGATTTATGCAAGGTCTGCCCTCATCTTTCCTACGGAACAAGAAAACTGTAAAATAGGTAAGTACATTTGAAGTCAGCTTTGAAAGTACTCGCTGTAACGAGCACGTGTTAACCTTGAAATCTGCATAATTTGTTTAGTGTTTGGGATGTTACTGGGCGATACGATTATTCTGGATAATCTGGACTGCGCGAACAGCTATCGTCAAGAGGTTTGTGAATTGTTATATTTTGTGCGCCCGCAGTTTTGCTGGGCTTTGCTGTGATGTACTGCGCATGTGCTGTGCTGACCTGTATATCAAGATTTATTTTATCTGACTTGTCAGGTGGTCAAGTACACGCACTGTCCAACTATCTTGACAAGAACTGGTGATCGTATCAGAAGCAATGGTAAATCTGTTTTCCATGTCTCTGAGGTCTAAACTTGCAACTTAGATTAAGAGAAAGCCAGAAGCCCCACTTCGATCGGGACCTCTGATGTTCGTGTCCACACGCTTGTCCCATCGTTACTCGGGTTGTCTTCTTAGCCAGTCGATAACATTTCTAGCCAAAAAACCGATGTACGGGTTTGGCTGCCTTCTGGCCAGTATCTTTCATAACATTGGCATAGAAAACGAGAACACATTGCATGACTGGGCGGTCTTTCTGGTTTACTCTTCATTCAACCTATGCCAACAAGGCATAAACAAATGCTACCGACCTTTTTAGTGGTAAACGGGTGTATAAGGTTACCCTACGATTTTTGACTACTTTTTCTATTAACAGGTAAATTTGGTGGGCTACAGAACAAGGCTCCAGCAATCGAGAGACTGCGAGGCGTGGTCTTCGCCGCACCTCTACCTCTGTCATACCATACCATATGCTCTCAACTTGGTAAACAAGATTTTCGATTCAACAAAGTTTTCTTTGGGACTTTTTCACAGAAAACTCTTTTCCTCTCCACTGTATGTAACTGCGTTGTCTTCCCATCTTTCCTAGAACAATTCAAAGCGTACAAGCAAGCTATGATAAAACATACCCAGGCACAGGAGGACTACAAGGTTTGTATCTTAATGTGTGCCGTTTTAGTTTTTGACGATTTTCGAAAATTTTCTGAAAATGTGTTATCATGCTGAAAATGGCTTCAATTATTTACTAAGACTTGTTTTTGAACGTATTTGGTTGGTTTTTCAAACATTGAAAAATTTTGGCCAAATGAAGCCAATGAACCAATGATTCTCTCGTAAACAAAATGTCGTATTGTCCAATCAGGTCCAAAGAGAGCAAATGCAAACTCCCGAGATGCAAAGCAAGCATAAAGAATGTCGCGAGGCCGAGGTTCAGTTGCGTCGCATCGAAGAACGCCTAGGCATGACACCAGCCGAATACGAGATGCCCGCCAGTCCAGCTTCCATGTTGCAGTCAGCGTTGGGAAGTACCACGTCGGGCAAGTCACGTGTCCCGAAGTCGTCCCCAGCAACGAGATCAACGCCGCTCGGGAGACCTTCATCCTCAGACCCAAGATCAACCACCAGAGGAGGCACCGCTGCTCAGCAACCTGTTGTCAATGGCTCAAGTGCTACTACTCCAAGTCGAACGCGACGAAATACGACAGCTCCCGATTCGTATGCTTCGCCAAGTAAACGACCCAGGCGCACCTAAGGTAGGCGAACTATTGGCTAATGGCTAATCACCTGTCATTCTAAACTGGCATCCCTGTTGGCTTTCTTGCTTTCAAACAGCCGTCGATTTTACTGCTGGTTTTTTATCGAGAGCATGTCAACTTCATTTACGCCGAAAATTGCAACATAAAAACAACGTGCGTCTCGAAAAGTTGCAATTACGTTATTTTCAATTTGAGAAAACTCCCACTGCTTCGTATGCATGTCTTTTTATTCGTCTTTTAAAACTGGAAAAGGTCGTTGACGTTTTTCGAACGCTCGACTCAAATATCACATTTCAAAAGTTTTTTCAAACCAACATAATCGCTTTCGGGAACAGATAATTCGTTAACTTTTCATGTACACTGACTAGCAGTTACCCCTAACACATACACAGTGCTAGCTCTTTTACGCATTCTTTGAAAAACAGCTTTTGCCACGCTGCAGTTTCAATCCCACTACCTTCATTTTGAATGCGGAGTGGGGGCAGAAAAGCCGGTGGTAACAGTCGCGCTCTCTACAATGTCCAAACTCCAAAGACGAATCCCGCTCTCCGCTGTTTTAAAATATGCTAAAAAATCTCCCACAGATTTGTAATTTTTTCAGGTGGAATGTCACCTCCATTAGGTTTCCCCCTTATAGACATTTACTCCTAAGAAACACACCCTTACTCTCCCCCTACATGTTTCCATACCTGTTGCCTTTAATAGACAAAAGTCCCTTCATATAAACTCTTGTTTAATTTGAAGCATTTACTAAGGGGAGCTGGTTTGTCTTTGGGCGCGAAAGGGGATAGTTTTTGCTTCATAAGGGAGGGCTAAATATAAATTGTATTTATTCTCGAAAATAGTTGAACATTTTAACACCATAGTATTATTATTTAATGCATTGTACAGTATCATTGTATTGCTATAGTCTTCACTAATATAACAGCAACATACTTCATATTTTTATCAGTCTCCAGTGAATTTGCATAAAGAATGAACAGTCACTGATAAAAAAATTTGCATTGACAAGATCTACAGAGTGTTTGTACCTAGTTGTTCTAAAGTTGCAAAACTGGGGGACTTTACATGACCAGATTTTTGTACCTAAAAGTTCCTTCGAGTAAAAACCCTAAATTTTATATGCTGCGATTTTTTATCTTTGGCTGTTGCATACTTTTACAAATAATTACGTTGCGAGGTTTAAACAATTTGTAATCTCAAACCTTTTTTGATCAAAGTACCATTTGGTATATCTGAGCCTTAATGATTAAAGACCTTGACAGATGTCAAGTTTCACTTACTTCGATCACAAAAGGTTTGAGAAAATGTAACCAAGGTTCTTACTATTGATATTATAAAAAGTTATGTTCATATTTTGTTGAAAATAGCATTATTCTATTTAAAGCACTGCTGGTTGTTTGCTTTGGTCTTGAAATAATTTAACAAGCCGTACTTTACAATACTTTGAGATATGAAACAGCTCCATTGCTTGAAAATATTACGTAAAAATGCCTCTTTTATCTCCTAGTACCTTAAACTCTGTGGCAATCTACTCAAATATAATACAAAAAGTCTAAAATGCTGTGAAAAATAGACCTTTCCCCTTTTAGCTTTCAAGCATGCAATGCGTCATGGTAGTTGATTATCAAGTAACTTTGAGTTGTGTTATCGCCTGCCTTTGAAGCAATTTTGTTTGTAAGAAAACCTTGCTGATTTAATTTGCTTCTTTGTTAACTAAATCACTCCTGACCATGGTGAAATCACAACTTAAAATGACTTTGATAATCAACTATCGTCATGCATTGTATGCTTGAAAGCTAAAAGGGAAAAGGTCTATTGGTCCAAAGTTTTTGTTCTGATTGTCTATGACTACATCTTTTGTACACTTGTAATGTTATCTAATGCATACAATGTATAATCATGTTTAGGTATCCTTGTTCAGCCCATACTTTTCTCTCATCTTCTGTAATTCTTGTTTCTTCTTTTCTTTGTCTAACTGTTTATGCATCTGCAAAATCATTTAAAAGTGGAATTGTTACTAGATTACATATCAACTGACTTTCCCATTCTCAATTACCCTTCCACTCACAAAAAAACATCTGTCATCAGATGGAGAGAATACTAAAGTCAGTGGTGAATTTTTGTGTCCAGCGGAGTAATTCCAACCAGCATGCTGGTTAATACATCTGGTTAACATTCGTACCTTGGTAGGTTGATAATAGAGGACAACCAGATATCGGTTACAAACATTGAAACCAGACAAATGATCGCAAGCGTTCTTCGCATCAAAGATGTCTTCATAGGCAACATAAGCTGTTCCTCTAGTATCATTGGCATTACCACTGATGAAAAATAGATAAAATTAGGTAAATACACAGTTTTTGCTGGATAGAATGACAGCAATGGTGATGAGACTATTTTTTTCTTAATAATCTTTTCTGATCTGATATATTTGCCACTGTGTGGCAACATTACTTACATTCTGATCTGTCGTATAGCACCGTACTTTCCAAATATATCGTACATTTCTTCAGCCGTTATTTTGTAAGGAAGATTTCTGTTCAAAAAAACAACACAAACGTTGTCTAAATTCGAGAATATTTGCCTTAAATACAGTTGATTTCACTTGCCATGGACGTATTTAAACATACCTCACGTATAGAATTCTATTTACTTCGGGTGGCAAACGGACCTTTGGGGGAAAACGATAAAAGTTAAATCACTGGCTAGAATTTTTAGTAATATTTGAAGTTTGTATTTAATACAATTTTTCACAGCTTTTCAACACAAAATTCGACTATAAATCCTGGTCCGATTTTCCTAGAATTTTATACAGACAAATATAAACATTTAGCAGAGATATATTTCTATCGAAATACGAAATTTTTTGTTAAGATATTGGGATATTACTCAAAATACTTACGTTTGTTTTACGAAGATTTGCTAACGCCATGTTGTCGTTCTCAAATAAAAGATTAAAGACTCCCGGGATATTTACATCCGGTAACTGAATGCCGCACGGGGGTTAGATCCCACTCGGGTTTCTTTATCTGGAACCATAGCCGGGTGCCTCACCGAATTCAGTGACTCAGACTGGGTGAATCGTTCGGTCTTCTGGGTTAAATTGTCAGTGCGCGGCAGTGCCGGATATCAGAAAGAATAAAGTTTGTTATCAAGCGGTCTTCTCAATCGCCTTGGTAATTTGTTAACGCATCTTTGTTTGAGAGCGGTTTTAAGATTTCAACTGTTGTTTAGACTTGCATTTCAATGTCATTCAAAGTCAATGAGTATGCAACCATTTCAGAATTGTGAAACAAGTTTTATGAAAAAACTTGTACCAATGTAAGCATATATTTCTGCCCCGTGAAAATGAACTAATTAGAATATTTCGCGCGCGTTCTATTATTGTTCGTGAACTCTGACCTTCACGCACCGGAAGTCATGTGAGGAAAGTGAAAGGAAAACGTCACGACCGGAAACAAAACAAAACATTCGAGTTGGCAATTTCCAGAGAACGTTTACAATATGATGGAGTCTACTGCTAATGGCGATGAAAATATCGCTCCTGTTGAGGATGAAAGCCCTTTTGGGGACGGAGAAAAGGTTTTGGAAGCTGTTGATATGCAAACGGATGAAGATGCGGCCGCTGAGGAAGCAAGGAAGGAAGAAATCCGCAAGCAAATGGCTAAGGTTTGTGCGTGCTGTCTGACCATTGGTTTTGCTGTTGACCTAGCTATATTATATTCGTTTTACTCATCGGAAATGAATACAAAACCTTGAGGTAATAACCTAATTAATAAAATAAAACAACACAACATGATTTTAGCAGATTTGTTTAAGCTCTGTTGCTCCGGTTTTTCGTCTCCAACAGATTTCACAGCTTTAGGGTGTTATTGACTTATTGCTCCTCCGTTTTTTCACTGACAAAGTTTGCTTTATTTTATTGCCACTTAGAAATTTATTAGGAAAATTAATTTTCATTGCAAGTGATAGAGACAAGGTGGGGAGAGGGAGGGGGTAGACAAGGTGGGGAGAGGAAGGAGGAGGGTTCTCTTCACATATCCCTCCAAACGTTGCTGTATAGAAACCTTGCCTAATTTTACTTCTCTTAATGGGATTACAGGGTTCAATGATTTAAGCTTAACAAGTTTAAAACTGTGGAGTGCTTCAGAATCCCATAGCTGTTAGTTTGATTCACTCTTGACCTTGCACTTTTCGTACCACTTGTAGACTTGTAAAATCATATTCTAATCTTGTGATCTCATAACTCGCATCTAGATGCATTAAATATGCATAACTGACAATAAATTAGAATTCAAATCTTTTTCCTAAAGTTACTTCTGTTTAATTAATAAATTTGCTAATCAATTTATGAGCATTGTACACAGGAGACTTAGATTGAATGTGACATTTAGGTAGTGTCTCTATTTGATCATGAAAAAACATGTAAAAACTACGCTAATTCAATTACAGATGGAAAAACAAAACAAGTAGAAGAGATAAGAACATGTTTTTAATATTTTTAAATTCAGCTCACAACAAGATTAATATCATTGCATGACCTTGCACAATATTGAGTATTAATGACATATTTTCCTGTGGCTTTATTGATATCAAAAGACATGTCAATTTAGGAATTTTATATTCAAACCATAACCAAAGTGTGTACTAATATGTTGTAACTCGTGAATAACTCAATAAAACTTGTGCATTATGTGCAAATATTTCATATTATCTGCAAGACAATATGGAACTAAAACAATTATTATACTTCTGTTTTAACATTGGACAGTCGTTAATTCATAATTGACAACTAAGAGTGGGTCTGCCATTTTACAATTGAGGTCAAGTTAAAAAAATCTAAAAAAATTGCCTGATTAAATTGCATGTCTTCTTTCATAAATTGCACTCATTAAACTTTAATATTGCAGCTTTGCAATACTTAGGCTAATTGTTTACACTATATCCTAGGTCTACATTTAAATCAAATTCTCACAGTGAAAATGCACTTTGACAAGGTCTTTGAATAGATATGCTTGAAAATTCCTGCCTGAATACATTTATCTAGCTTAATGTGTAAAAACAGCTTCTTAACATAGTGGAAGTTTAATTTAATACTTTTATATCAGGCATTTTTTTAATGTTTTTCCAATTTATTTTTTTTACAATGTTATCTTTAAGTTTGATATCTCTAGATGTAATGCCAGATGGGACTTTTGAATTTTTAATAGCAACACTAAAGAATCATTACTTGAATGGTGGATAAGTTCAACTCTACCAATGGCTTGATCCATGTCCTACATGTAAATTTCAAAATAAAGAAATTGTTCTTCAATGTAGTTGATTCGTTGAAACAAACCACTAGCTGTTTTCAGACTTACATTTACACCAAACAAATTTAAAGCTTGTAGTTGAAAACGAGAAGGTAGAAGCTGTCTTTATCAAAATGCTTTGTACTATAATAGTTAAAACAGCGGGGAAGGTTCCCACTTTGAAAACGAACTACATCGATCAATAACTGCCATCGTTACAGGCCAACAATTTTCTCTTCTGAGCGACAAGTTTATTTTTAGTTAGAAGAGGAGATGACGAGTCTACGCAATGCCCTGGAGAGAAAAGAAAAGCAGTATGCTGATTTAAAAAAAGAACTTGGTATAACAAGATGGAGTCAGCTACGTGAGGGAATTGGGACGCAGATCAACTACATACAAAATAGTGAAGTGTAAGCGTTGCCATTGTATAAAATCCTTTAAACTTGTTTTTGCTATAGACATTGTTCATAAGGACAGCAAGACAGGGAAAGGGAAACAACGTTTTTGCAACAAAAATCATACTTATTTCAACTTTCTATGAACCACATTTTGTTTTCTCAGCTAGATGCGACAAAATTTGGAGATTCGTGGCGTTGACCATTTCAGGTTTTTTCTGTTTTCTCCCTTTTTCTAGTATGAAGAAAACATCTGAGACGATCAAAGGCTGGAACGATAAAATTGTTCAATCCGGAGCGTGAGTTTTGGAAATTATACTTTAATTTATATTCTTCATCTAAAGCTACGGAGTGGTTTCATGCAGTCAAGTTGGGCAAGAAGAACAAAATCCAACACCACAATGAAAATATATACGCCTGCATGTGAAGTTCTGTTTGACTCATTTTAAGATTCGCTCCTTAGTTGTGACACTGTATTTTGCTAGATAAAAATTTAGTCTATTGCCAACATCGTCCATTCCTACTGAATACACCTGTGTGGTTAAACACGATAGAAATATTGGTTATGACGTGATGTCTTCGTCAAAAAGACCTCCTGAACAAACTAAAAAAGAAAATAGATTGACTAATTTTTCCTGTTGGTTCGTGTATATCGGGAATGAAGATGGGTTTAATTGTGTTTTTACAGGTACAACAAGACGTGTAAAACTCTTTCTGGAGCAAGCGAAGCGACGACCAACGCTTTAAAGAGTGCTGGTGCTGTGACGGCTAAAAAGATTGGAGAATTACGGTGAGTGAGAAGTTGAGAACTGTAGATTTTCATTTTCTTACTGTATGGCGCTGGCAGGCCTCAGTCCTCGGGATATGTCTCGGGATAAAATATTTCTGGTAAATCTTCACCAAATGCTAGGATTTTTCAATGAAAAACAATGAAAAATTTCAACTGTGATGGTATGATGAACCGGGGAATGTATACGTTTTGAATAAGTTTGGAAATCAGGTTTGGGAATTGGGAAGATTTAATTGGCGCTTTGGTATCGATTATCGTATTTTTTTGCCCCGTTTTCCTAAAAGAACCATCAACGTTTAATTTTTTTTAAAATACGACGTAAGAAGTACAATCCCCAACCATTCATTAGTGATGCAAATTGTTCCCAAGATGACATGCGAGTCGATGGATTTCTTGCTTTTTTTCCTACAGGGACTCAGACACCTTTAAGTCAATTGAAAACAAAGTTTCGTCAGCAACGAGTTCGATAAAGGTATATAAGAAAGCCTCGTACCCGGGCGCTCTCTGCTTTGTTGTCTAAGCTATGCTCGATCTCGAGAGACATAATTGTTACATTACCTGTTCACTCTTTCGTCTAGGGGAAAGTGGTCGGCCAGAAACCGTATGAACCTGGGGAAGAAGGCATCGATGAAGTCGATCCAAACATGGAACACGAACCAGTGGCCAGCAGCTAAAAAATTAACTGTGTTTTTTCAAAGAATATTTTAACGCAAATATCTTCGAGCCAGGATTTGCTGCTTCGTAGGGGGAAGGTTATCATTAAGGACGGTATATCTTTGCATTACGGTTGAACCGCGTTCAACAAAGCTAGTGTTTATTCGGTATTTGCAACCGAACCGTCTGATATAGGCAAATTTAGCTTTATTTTTCATACGCAATGTTTTAGAATGTATAGATCGCAGTCGGATTTGTTTTTGTAAGAGTGGTTTAAACTATCAAAGCTGCTGTGATCCCATTGATTTGGAGTTTTACATGCATAACTCCAAAGTTCTGAAGAATTTGGAAGATATTTTAGTTTTAAAAACTCGGATTAGCACTGTCCCTTCATCATTTGCGAGATTTTCAAATCTACTAAAAGGAATAGAAATGAACTTTGATAGTTTAAGCCAGCTTTTAAGCTACACACAGCGGACTAGACAAGCAACTTTTCTCGACAACTTTATTGTGGTTTTTCAAGAAAAGATTGCTCGTAGTTGGTTTTGAAGAAAAGATAGGTTTTTGTTACTGAAGCCATGCTTACAAACGGGGTGCGTTTTAGTTGTAGCAAAAATTAAGAATGGTTGAAACACTTCTTGATTTACAAACCGTGAATACGGTGAAAATCGATTTGTCGTAACTCAGATAATCAAAATTTGTGGCTAACAATGACTAAATAATAACTCAATAATTATCTGGTCTGGGGAGACTATTTATATGAATAAATCATAAACATATTCTCAAGCATATCTTTTGTCTTTTCCTGGTAAAAAAAGGCCATTACATAGCAGTAATTCCCTGTTAACATCTCTAAAAACGTGAAAGTTTAAGAATATCTTTGCTGCGAGTGTTCATGGTGTGCAAAACGACGGTAGTTAAAAGGATTTTTCTCGGGTTTGCTGTGCGCGCCGTCACGTGACGTTCTTCCGACCTGACACGTTCTCTTTACAAAGATGGCCACACGAGGTAAAGAAAGGATCAATGTTGTTGTTTTAACTCCCATATTTCTCCCTGTTCTGTGTGTGAAATAGTGTTTATAACTATTGAATCGTTTCAAATAATACATCGGCTTTTAATAGCATGTAAAAACCTGGCAATCGCGTAAAATAGACTGGATATTTTAGCCGTTGAAACATTGAATATTGCAAAAGTACATTTCATATTGAACACGGTGCAAGGTGTTCTTAGACGCTGCTGCCGGAAGAGTCTAAGCAATGCGGGATTTGTTGTGTGAATGAAAAAAGCGGTCATCGTTGCTTTGAATATTTGTTTCACACCAGCTACATCCACGATTTTGTTTGAAAATTATACCACAATGAGGGAGAGTTCTCTACTTGGTTCTATAGGCTATAAAAATTTGTCAAATGAATTGAAATTTGGGGAACATCTTCAATTCTAAATTTTTCAAAAAACTGCAATGGGTCAATATTTGGCTTGATTGCAGGCATTTCATAATACCACCTGGTACTTAGTTGTACTTTACCATTAGGTCTGCACTGTCACTGTGGAACCACAAGAAATGCAATTTTAATGAAATATGAGATTAAATCGATCAATCCCTTGTTTAAGACCCATTATTTGGCATTTTTAATTAATGTATGTAGGTTTCATTCCTCAATGATAAGATTTGCCATTTGATGAGTAAAAAACATGCCAAAGAAGCTAGCCTTCCCCTAGCTGTGACACTGTTTTCACTTCAGTTTTTGCAATACCAAAGCACTTGTTGATGGTCGCAAAAAATATATATTACAATGTTGTATCTGTCCTAATATCCTGCTTAGCCACTGATCTATATCCACTGTGGTGTACCTAGTTTTAGTTTAATGCTTTGGAGCCATACTGCCCATTTGGTTAAAATGAGAACCAATATTCATTTTGTAGTCACAGCCAGCGTGTTGGTGTTACTTTGTGTGTTAACCGTTGGGTTGTGTGCAGCACCTACCACCGTGCTAACTCTTGAAGAACAGGGTAGAATTAAAGCGCAGTTGTCTGCGGATCTTCCTGGAAAAGACTTGGAAACAACCTTCTATAATGTAGCCTCTCTCACTCTGCTGAATTCCAAAGTACCAAAATCTGAGGTAGGGCAAAAAGAAGTCACCTTGGAACATATTGATAGTCACCTGCCGCCATTGATAGTCAGCACTTGCAAAAATCCCTGAAATGCAGTTCCCCATTTGGTTGAATTTCTTTATTGAATGAAATTTACTGCTTTCTTTCGATTGTTACTGGTCAAGGGAATTCTCTATAATCCAATTATCACAATTGAAAAAACATTGTTTTGTTTGAAATTCATTGTGTAAAATATTTTCAATTATAGGAGATCTGTAAATTTGTAAACAAGAACATTGATCCAAAAGACATTGCCTTAATTTTTTTTGGATCATCAATTGGAAAACTTCTTGGAAACTGTCAGGTAGTCGACTAGAGATTGATAAAAGTCACTTGAAATGCTGACAAGTTACAAATGTAAGAGGGATACCATTTGTTGTAGGTGAAAGTCGATGGTGCACAAGCAACATTAACAGCAGCTTTGAATGACAAATCAGACACAGAATTAATCCGTTTCGCTGTTGAGTCCCTAGTCAACCTTGGTCTGAAAGGTATGTCAATACTATTACATATCGAAAATACAATTGTTTTCAGGAGTACAATAAGCCTAGGTATTCCTGTATTTGTATTATTGTCTTATCCCCTAATGTCAGACTATGTTACTCAGTGGAAGACTTTTGTCAGTTTTGGGTTTAATACAATTTGTTTAGTTGATGAAAAAGCCACATCAGATGCTTTGAAAAGCATTCTAAAAGAAGAAAAAGAAGAATTTGTCCCAAGGTGAAATAAACAAGAATTTGGCATGCTTTCCTTATGTTAAAAGGGTGTCTTAAAATGCCATTAAGAAAAGCTCTTGTGTTCACAGCTTTTTTTCAGCCTTGTTAATCTGTTATCTAGGTCAGCTACAGTTTGAAATTAAAAATTTGCCAGTAAAGTACATAGTATACAAGGCTGAAATTTCTGGCCGTTGTCAGCAGCTTATTCATATTTAAATGTGTCTTTTGTTAGTGTTACCAATACGTTGTTCGCTGCATCTCATTTAGCTGGTGATGTCTCGTTTGCATTTGATGCTATAGAGGTAATAATAGACTGTGTAAATGTACAACTTTTAAGTTAGATTTCTTTGTTTTTTTTATTTGCCCATTATTTATTTTTAATTAAATTATGATTCTCCTTTCAGGATGCTGTTGCACAGGCTGATGAAATTGCAGACACTTTTCTTCAGGTACAGCAAACTGAAATTTGTATTTGTTTCCTTACTTTTACATTGTTAGAAATGGCTTCAATTTGTGGTTATTTTATTAGTTTGAGGGTGGATTAATGGTGACTGCAGACTTCATTACTGGAGTGTACAAATTAGCAGCACATGTGAAAAAAGCTCCAACAATTACTGAAGTGAGTTCATACTTATTTAATTATATCACAGGCAGCCCGGTCACTGCTGTTACGTCATGCTATTATATATGTATATAATTACAATAAGGCTGGCAACTCTCTCGCAAAAAATATAATACATACATTAATACCATCGCTTAATACAAAAATACTACGCTAGTTTCTTAAAAAAAAACTACATACAAAACACCTTGGATATATTGACTATATTTATCTGTCATTTTTAGACTTGAAAAAAACTCTAAAATGCTCAAATTTTACGAATTAAAAGTGTGTTTTCGTTGAAATTTTGCGAAACAGAGGCGGGATGCAATTTACTCGACAAACGTCATCATCGGAGAATTCGTCGGCAAACTTCTGATTGGCTGTGGCAAGTTCGGAAAATTACGAAGATCTTTTTTCTTGATTGAGTTGACCTTCGTAATTTTCCGAACTTGCCACAGCCAATCAGGAGTTTGCCGACGAATTCTCCGATGATGACGTTTGTCGAGTAAATTGCATCCCGCCTCTGTTTCGCAAAATTTTAACGAAAATACACTTTTAATTCGTAAAATTTGAGCATTTTAGAGTTTTTTTCAAGTCTAAAAACGACAGATAAATATAATCAATATATCCAAGGTGTTTTGTATGTAGTTTTTTTTTAAGAAACTAGCGTAATATTTTTGTTTTAAGCGATGGTATTAATGTATGTATTATATTTTTTGCGAGAGAGTTGCCAGCCTTATTGTAATTATATACATATATAATAGCATGACGTAACAGCAGTGACCGGGCTGCCTGTGATTATATTCACTTATTATATATTTTAGAACTAAAACTAAACATGATTTTCCAAAAATCAGTTATCAGGGGAAAATAGTCTCAAGAAAAAAATATTCTCATTTCCATTTTTTAGGACCAAGCTCAAAAGTTCACCAACTATCTGCTCTCAAGAAAATATGTCCAAAGTTCTTATGAAACATTTTATCTGCTCAGTTCTCTAAGAACATACGCTGATAACCAGGTGACTAATGAAGATCCATATTTACTTAAATAGGAAAACATAATTAGCTGTAAAACCCTCTTAAAAGGTCATATTTTGATTCCATACCATGGAACTTCTTTGGGAATTGCAAAATGCTTTGGTTATAAGGACATTGGCTTTGACAATAGCACTTATATGTGAATTTATCTTTATTAGTTTCAAATTCCAGTCATTGCACGGATGTATAGCACTGCAGCTATTTCAGATGAAAACAAACTTCTCAAGGTAATGAAATTTATATCCTCTAAAGCTACAACATTTACTAAGCTTAAAAGGGCACATATAGGTTGTAATCCATTTGTATTAGCTTGGATTTCAAACCTGTTTGGAAGTACATGAGCTTTAAAGTAACATTTAGTGAAGCATTGTCATTATTTAGGCTTTGTCATAAACAATGCAACTTACCTTCAATTTAGGTGCGTGTTACAAACACGCTTGACAACCCTTTCACCAAAATGTCTGTGACTGCAGACAGTATTCTCGACAAAAATGATGAAGAATTGATTTCCAAGAAACCTTTCTCAGAACAGAAAGACTAGTAAGTGTGTTGTTCTTAGAACCTAAATAAGTCAGTGGTATAAATGCTCATGTATGGTACTGTATTTTAGCTATAATAATTACTTGGGTTCATCCTTTAAGCCTTAACTTATAAAGTGTTATATCTCTTTCTGTAGTTACCAAATTGATGTAGTGAACTTCAAGCTTCCTGCTGGGTTTTACAAAATTGTCTTGAGGTAAGCAAGCAGTTGAAAAAATCTCACATATCACACCTGTGAAAGTCGGAGCATTCTAAGCTAAAAATTCTACATGTTTCTTTTATCCGTAGTTTAAAACCAGGCCAACCAGACAAAAGACTTCTTGGACTGACTGATATTGAGGTAGTTATCTTTAATTTATATAGAAACTACAAGATAAGATTGCTGGTTGCCTCGTGAAAATAAGAAATCACTTTATAAACTTCAATTTTAGCTTCCATTCAAAGTGGTCACAACAGTTGCTGTTGAAGCCATTTCAATTTCAATTCTCGATAAAGAACATGCATCACTAGTCAGCTCTGTAAGGTGAGTTTTGTTTTAAAATAGACGTGGTAAAAACTGCATGTCTGAACTTTATTTCAGACCAATAGGTAATGCTATTGAGTTCAATCACTGCATAAGCTTTTCTACCTAATTTCAGTGTGAGTTATCCACGAGGTCTTGATAAAACTTTAGAGGCAGATCATCACCAAAAGGTTACAATGACATTCTCACTTAAAGATATTTCTGCACAAAAAGTAATGACTGCCCACCAGGTAAGGTATCATTTCCTTCTATTTTAAACTTTCAATTTTGAGCACATCATCCCTCTCCTGTTCCATTCTTATAATAATATTTTTGTTGTTCATTTTTCAGACTTTTGTACGACTCACGAACGCCAAAACTAATCAGGAAATCTTCTTTGTTGCTGAGCCAGAGGGAGGCAAAGTTTACAAATTCGATTTGGTATGTTTAGTTTACTAGTAGAATGGCAATCTTGTTTATGTTACTTTGGGATAGTAAAACTTAGGCACTATGACTAGCTTAGCTTATAACATGTATAAAATCCTCTTGTGTTAGGATGTCAGCGCTGCTTCAAAGGATTCATTTGGCTCCCTGTCTGGAGAATATCAGATTGTAAGTTTGATAAAGACATTAGCTGCCATTCACCTGCATTTGCCTTTATTTAAGTTCTGATATCTGTTAGGATCTCATCATTGGCGATGCTGCAATTGAAAATTCTCTTCTATGGACCATCGTAAGTTTTGTGACTTTCAAATCACATATAATATTTGCTTATTGTAGAATCTTTCAACTTCGTTTATATCAGATAGTCTTTTAGTAGTGGTTTCAATATTTATTTGAAATGTAACATATTGCACAGCCTTTGAGATTTTCATTGTTGTTAAAGTTGAGTGGGCATCTTAAAACATGAGCTCGTGTTAAATAACTCTGTGTATTTAACATTCAAAAGATGCCAGATTGATAAATCTCTCCTCCACCAAGATTTCTCAATATAGAAATGACTTGACTAATGAGAGATGACATACATTAGTATATAATGAAAGCAATGTTTTGTAAAACAACAAACAAGTTTTGGTCAGTATAAGGTAGATTTAAATTCATTGTATTTTGCTAGGGAAAAATTCAACTAACATTTGCTAGTAGCCCAGAGACACCACAGCAAAAGGGCAGTCAATTTAAACCAAAACCGGAAATTCAGGTGGGTAAAATGGGAAGAAATGTTACTGTTTTTATACAGTAATAGTCTTTTCGTCTGGGTGCATCTGAAAACATGAGCTCGTGTTGAGTAACTTTCAGTGTATTTAACATTCAAAAGATGCCAGATTAACTATCTCTCCTCCACCAAGATTTCTCAATATAGAAAAGACTTGACTAATGAGAGATTACAATAGCTCTAAATCTGTTCTGTCTCGATGTAAAGAGATGATCTCGTATTTATTCAATGTTACTATTTTTCTAGCACTCCTTCCGTCAACCAGAAAAGCGTCCTCCAAAGACGGTCTCAACTGCGTTCACTATTCTTGTGTTGTTGCCACTCCTTGTCCTTTTTGTTGCCGTAAGTTGGAAGCTGTTTAAAAACTTTAGCTGAAAGAAATCTCTTGCAGACATGGATCTCAGCTTCTAACGTGTTTATCTTGTAAATTTAGTGGATGAAACTTGGTGTAAATTTATCAAATTTCCAATTCTCCATTCCTGCTATTGTGTTCCACCTGGGTCTAGGAGGTAAGCTCTTGAAATTCTTGTTTTTTCCCCTGGATATTCAATTCAAGCTAAGATTTGAGTCCATAAAATTAAGTGTATACTCTTCTGCACTTGATACAATTCCGTCTCTTGTGTAAAGCTTGGCTATTTGTTTATCAATCTTTTTCTTTTGTAGCCATATTTCTTCTGATGTACGCTTTCTGGACGTCTTTGGTAAGACTTGGCAATTTATGAGTATACTGTCACTATAGCTGTGATGATATTGTTTCCTAAAACTATTATATATTTCTCTTTTAGAATATGTTTAGTACTTTGAAATTATTAGCTTTGATAGGATCGATAACTTTCCTTGCTGGAAACTCTCTTTTGGCAAATCTAGCTGCTCAAAGGTAAAGTTTCATTGGATTTTTTAATTCCAAACACTGACTACTGAGGTAATGTTTTCACCCTAATTAATTTCTGGGTTTTTTTCTTTTTTTTTTTAGAACACAAAAGTAGGCATTTGTACACTTATTTGGAGAGAAGAAAGACGTCTAATGATATTTGATGTAATAGCACAACCCTAAAGCTAAAATCTGCTGTTTTTATGAAGAGATACTCTGCCTTATGAACAATATTAGTAATTTAAATTGAAATAAAACACCTTTGTAGTTCCTGAAAATGCAGTTTTCGTTGTTTGAATGGGAAGGGGTGTTTTTAGATGGTGGGGACTTCAGACTATTTTGAACTGTTTATTTAGCTTTATTTTCGAAATCTGGCTTTCTAGCAGTAAAAAAACTTTCTTTATTCGATACTGTATCACCGTATAAGACCAGTCAAATTTTCATGGCAAAGGCTAAAATCGGTAAAATGTAACTAAAACTGTACCAGCAGATAGTGGTGGTTGTTATTTGTTATTCCAGTGTAAAGGTGATGTATTGCGTTCAGCGTGGTTTTCGATACTTGGTGTAAGAATCGTTATAGCAATATCAACAAATCGTAAGGTGTGGAGGGTGAAAAGTCGAACTTTTCTAGTTTTCAAATCAAATTTTTTTAATACTTTTCTCGTCTTTTTTAAAACTTTATCTCGTTTCAAACGATGCAAGACCCAAACGAAGACACAGAGTGGAACGATGTACTTAGAGCGAAAGGAATCTTGCCGCCTAAACAAAAAGAAGTTGAGATTTCTGAAGACCAAATTGTGAACTTGGTTGAGGACACGATAAGTAAGAGAACAGGAGAGAATGTCGTAAAGAACTATGAAGATATGACTTTAGATGAGCTAGATGAGTTTGAAGACGAGGAAGATGAGAGAGTACTAGAGGAATATCGGTAAGTTATACATAACATGCTGTTCATTGAATGGCGATTGTCAGTAAAACTTCACATGTAAAGGAAGTATAATATGATTCATTGTACATGATATCTCAGGTTCTCTGTAGTTAAGGGTATATCTTTGTGGGTATTACTATGTAAATGGTATTACTATTGAGTATGTCTTTTGATTGCTCATTACTTTTTTAAATGACTAGTTTCCTCCAAACAGAGTTTCAGATTAAAGCCTAGGGCACTAAGGTGACTAAGACAGCACTTTATTTAAATACATCCAAGGTTTTAAAATTTGGAAATGAAGTAGCAGCTGTTGGGCTTATTTAAACCCTACTTAATGCTGCTGTATTTAACTTACTCTGGCATTCCTATTTCACCAGAAAACAGCGTCTAGCGGAGATGAGGAAACACCAACAGGCAGCAAGATTTGGAGAAATGATGGAGATCACAGCTGTTGATTATGTCCAGGAAGTGAACAAGGCTGGGGACGGAATATGGGTTGTTTTACATCTTTATAAGACTGGGTGAGTATGATGATGGCTAGAGTGGAGTAAAATGGGATAGGTTGGGATGGAATAGAACAGAGTGGGTAAATTAAGATTGATAAATGGGTTGAATTATAATAAGTTGAAATGAGATTAGAGTGGATAGGGGGAAATGAGCATAATGGGATAGAAAGAGATGGGAAGGAATGGAGAAGAGTAGAATGGGATAGAATGGATTGGTTTTTGGATGGACAGATGGGGTGAGATAGAATAGAATGGAATGGAATGGAAAGTAATAGTATGGGATGAAGTGAATTGGAGTGAAATGGAATGGAGTGAAATGGAATGGCTTGTTGTAGGAATATGGAATGGAATATAAACGAATAGTGGAAAAGGTTTGAATGGAGTGAAGTAAAGTGGGATAGGATTGCATAACTACAGGTGAAAGCCTCTGAAACTGCTGAAAAGTTTTTATTGCCCAATTCACTAAAAACTATTTGCACTTTTTTTTCTAGGATTCCATTATGTGCATTGCTTAATCGTCACCTTCAACAATTAGCCCAAAAATTTCCAACGACTAAATTTCTAAAAAGCATATCAACCACATGCATCCCAAACTATCCCGATAAGAACCTACCAACGATATTTGTGTACCGTAATGGTGATATGGTAAAACAATACATAGGACCAATAGCTTTCGATGGAATGAATTGCTCTCTTGAAGGTAAGAATTGAATCCTTCTAAAATCTGTTCCCGTCTTAAACATTGCATAATAGCGAGGTTCAGATTTGGTTCCACTACCACTTCCGCTACCTCTCGCTAATCTATCAAGCTCGTGATTGGTTAGTCTGATCGACCTATTGCATTTGATTGGTTTATATTCCCTCAAAGGTTGTGGTAGTCCATAGTTATTGTAGTGGGAGGGTTTGGAAGACCGGGTCACGTGACTAAAAAACTTATTGTCTTTAATCACGTGGGAACCAAGGTGCATCGAACAGAGTTGTTTTCATCGTAAAATCATATAGATTAAAGGAAGCGCGACACAAAAACATTGTATTTTGGCGTCTTTTTCGCGATGCCAGGAGCGAATTGCTCCATATTTGGTTGCGCGACAAGTCGAAAGCACGTCGGGGTAGGAATTTTTAAAATCCCTTCGGAAACAGATGAGTTATCGAAGAAAACTCGCGAAGCTTGGATAAGTGTTATCACCAAGGACCGTGTTGTAGACGAAGGTTTGCGTCGACAAATCAATAGCGGAAACCTGTATGTGTGTGAGAAGCATTTTAGGAAAGAAGAATATGAGACTTGTAAGTATATTCTTATTTTTGATTTGATAATATTATTCCTAAATTTACATATCGGTGCGGTTTTTAAGCCCTTACGATCACGACCCTTCAGAGTCGAAAACAATAGTCCCCTGTATGCATATAATTAGTTGTTTGGCACAAGTTTGCGTCAGAAAATCCCAGTGGATAATGTACTATGTGTAAACCAAAAAACTCAAGATAGGAGTTGTTAAAAAAAGACAAATTTAAGGTGATATTTCGCCTACTGTATTTCAATTGTCAAACGTTTTTAGGGGTTGTATTTCCATATGAAATTTCATAGTAAATAATTTGTCCTTACGACGATGTCTATATGCAGTTACTGTGATAGGTAGTTCATTTGTTGATTATAGTCACTCATGCTGTAAAGTTTGCAATAGATATCTTCTAAAAGTATGATTCCTCTGATCTTTAAAGATTATCAGTAATTTTTGCAATGTCTATCGTGTTTCATATTGAAACTCGTAAAAGCTATGCTAGGGTGATTATATATATTTAACAGTAGGTCTTTTTCTTTTTCAGTTTCTACTCGTAAGATATTAGCTCGTGGAGCAATTCCATCCTTAAACTTGCCAGTGAAGAGTATACCACCTCCACCTCCTGCTACACCAAGGCGTGATCTAGTGCGACAGCAAATTGATGATCCTGTCCTAGTGGTTTATCGAAACTTTAAACACTTTCAACAAAAGATATTACCATTGAAGATGAACAGATGGTGCAAAAAAGGGGAAGAGGACAGTATAGTTTTTGAGTTTTTCCAGCCACCTTATACCCTACCAAAGCTTTCCTTGTCAGTTGTTTCTGAACTCACCTTTTCTGTTGCTGTGTACAACTGGTTTTTACCAGATGACCATTATATTTATGTTAGTCACAAAAGATCTTTAAAGCATACATCCATCTCTACCCTAATGGCCACTTTGGAAAGTGCTCAAGTTTGTCAAGGTCTAAGTAAAGAGAAACACATTGTCTCTTTATGTGAAGATCCCAGTCCGACTTGTGGTGCCAGCAGTGTCATGAGACATACAATCCCAATTGAGCGAAAGTGCTATGAAGAAGATGGTCCACCATTTCAGGCTCATGTGTTTATCAGGTCAGAGCATTGTGAGTTGCTTTGCAGCAACGTCTCCTGTTCTGATTGTATCAAAAAGGAAAAATCCCTTACAAAAATGAAAGAGAGTGCTGTCAAGAAAGGAACAGAGCCTCTGAAAAGTAATGCACCCCTGTCTGGCTCAAGTAAGGAGAGGTTAATTGCCACTGTTCAACAGCAAAGGCTGGTTTGTAAAGAACTTGAGGGTCGAATTGCTGAACTGGAGAAAGAAATTGAGAGCAACAGCATCCCTATCGACGAAACAATGGAAAAAGATATCTTGGCAATTCTTGCTGACAGAAGTGATGATGTAACCCCCCACATGAAAGTTTTCTGGGAGCAGCAAAGGAAACTACTAGCTATGCCAAAATTTGGAAGAAGGTAGTGAAGCATGTTTTTTGCATGACATAGTTTATCTATTCATACTTTTCACACACTGCTGGGAGGTATACTGCACCATGATTGTAGGCCTTAATATTGTTGTTTGAAATAGGAAAAGACATACAACAGAAGGAAAGTTATTGTAGACAGGGTGCTGAAGGCCATTTAAAAAAGATTGAATGAAAAGATATGAAAAAGTAGACTGTATATGGCACCCAATCTTTAATTCAATAACTAGAACTAGAAGTGGCTTTGTATAGTCAACCTGTACAATACTCTTAACAGTTCACCCTAGATTTATTATCCTGGATTGTGTGAGAAAACATTTTTGTGCCTTTGGCCCTTAGACTGGGAAAAATATTACTTATTTTATTTTACATTAGGCAATTAGAGTCTCCTGATGGATTATTATATACAGTCATTAATATGTTTTTATTATTGCCAGGTACCATCCTCATATCATCCGTTTCTGCCTGTCTCTTCATGCCAAGTCTCCAGCAGCATACAAAGAATTGCGAGAGTCTGGTGTTTTGGTACTACCAAGTGAGAGAACTCTCAGGGATTACCGAAATTTCTTCAAGCCAAGGGCTGGTTTTCATCCTGATAATATTGAAAGATTAAAGAATCAAACAAGCCAGTATTTTGACATACAGAGGTATGTTGTCCTTTCATTTGATGAAATGAAAATCCAATCAAAGCTGGTCTTTGATAAACACTCCAATGAACTAATTGGCTTTGTTGATCTTGGAGAAGAGGAACTGAATCTTAGCAGTGGATCGTCTGACCTTGCGACCCATGCCCTGGTATTTTTTGTACGTGGTGCTGCAAGTGTTCTTAAATATGCCCTTGCGTACTTTCTTACTAAAGATGTCACTTCATATCAGATAATGCCTTTGTTTTGGAAAGCTGTATCTGTACTTGAGCTTACGTGTAATCTCTGGGTTTGTGCCACTGTATCTGATGGAGCATCACCTAATCGCCTCTTCTACCAACTGCATTCCGATTTGGTCGAACCAGGTACAGAAGTGGTAAACTACACACCAAATCTTTTTGCTTCAAGTCGAAAAATCTACTTCTTCTCTGATGCACCACATTTGCTTAAGACTACCAGAAACTGCCTATTTAATTCTGGAAGTGGTAAGCGCACACGCTACATGTGGAACAACAAGAAGTACCTGCTCTGGGAACACATTGCCAAACTATATTACTCGGATCTTGATTCGGGTCTCCACCAGCTACCTAAGTTGACCGTAGATCACATTGCCCTAAAGTCCTATTCAAAGATGAAAGTCAGCATGGCAGTGCAAGTGTTGAGCAATACAGTTGCACAAGCTCTACAGCGCCATTTCTCATCGGGAGAAGCAGAGGAAACCGCCAAACTGTGCAAGATGATGAACGATTTTTTTGACTGCATGAATGTTCGATCCACCACCGAGCACCAGAAGAAGCGCAACGCTTTATTAGCTCCATACAGAAGTATGGATGACGAGAGATTCAATTGGCTGCAAAATGTCTTTCTGGAATACCTAAACAATTGGAAATTGTCGACAGAATTGAGAGAAGGAGCATTCACTGATGATGACAGAGGACGTATGTTCTTGAGTACCCAAACCTTCAGTGGATTAAAGATGTCAATCAAATCAGTTATAGCAACAACCAAGTTCTTGTTGAGTGAGGGGTTTGACTTTGTTTTGACTGAACGTTTTTGTCAAGATGACGTTGAAGAGTACTTTGGCTACCAGCGTGCCCAAGGACGAAGAAGTGACAACCCATCAGCTGCAGAATTTGGCTATAATGACCTAAGAATTGCCACCTTGCGAGATGTTGCACCCAAATCAATTGAGGGGAATGTATCAGGACGGCATTCCGGAAAGAAAAGTAAGTGGTGCAATGTGAGCGATGAGCAGCTGCCCAAGAGAATAGTAAAAAAGAAGAAACCATTAACTGATTGACACTAATATTTCAGACAATACATATACAGGCTGCATCACCCCCCTCCCTATTGAAATAGAGCTTTGTTGAAATTTAAGTGCATGAGTAACACAAATTAAGGTCTTACTTTCAATTTTAGGCATCTGTGGGTTTAGAATAATAATACTATCTGTCACAGACTAGCAAAATGTGCTGACTGCCTAATAAAGAGTGTTGTTTTTTTCAAATTGCATCTTTAATATACATAAGAATACATATGGGAAGCTTTTATTTTCATGAGTAACTTCATTGAGTTCACTATTTTTTGTAATGTGATGTCACAGCCTCTTTTAAATATTGCATACTGTAGCTGTACTGAAAGCAATTTTTATGAACTAATAATGTACAATAATGATCTTCGAGAAACCTTGTAAACTTAATAATTATATAGAGTATCAAATCACCATTTATTCAACCTTTAACCTCAAATGTGCTAGATTACTTATGACATAATTACAAGCATACTTCACTGGCTTTCTTCAGGTCCTTTCGTAGAGCTTTAGTTTTCTGAGTATGTTGACTCAGTTTATACTTATTTACAATATCTTTAGCCAATGAAAAAGATCTGACAGTAACATATAGTTTCACTACATTTTCCAAACATAAACATTGACATTCTTTTGAAATTTGTACAGAACAGTTTTGAATGATATTGTTCCATAAGCTTTTAACAAGAGGGGAAGTTAATACTTCATTAACTATAATGTCTACTGGAAGAAAAGTAACCTTGTCTTTATTTGTACTCTTTCTGAATGCCAACTCAGCAACCTCTGCAATCCTAACAATCCATTCATGGGGTGCCCAAAGTCCACCTCTTGATAAAGATGAAATATATTCATTCCTCTCTGTTTCCTGTCTCATTGATGACATTAAAGCTTGAATTTCTTTGTTGCGGGCGGAGTTGCTTCTGGAACAATTTTTGCTCTTTTGGTAAAATGATCGTATCACATAACCAGTAAGGTAAGATAATGGTCCATATTCATGAGGTAATAGGGACATCTCCTCCTAAAATTTAGTCAACAAGTAAATCAAAAAAGGTTATCAGGACTGGCAAAATACTTGTGATTTTAACAATCTAAAATAAGAACTATACCTTTGATATTCCTTGGTCATCTTGACCTTTCTCTAGGAATCCAATCAGGCGTTGGGGAAGATGGATTAACATAAGAAAAACTATTTTCTGTTCTCCATAAGGATGAAAGAATTTTTTCCAGTTGGCATATGAATTTCCATAAAACTCTGTAAGAAATTTGTCTTGATTTCTCTTCCTTTTAAATTTCAGTAAGAGTTGATTGACAAAGCTGACAAATAAATCAGTTGGAGAAAGCTTGAATATTTCTGCTGTTTGTTCCTCTTTATAAAGTTTTTCGTCAACCAAATGTCGACCGATGTCGCGGATAATAGAGCACACGTTTTCCACTGATAACACATTTTTCTCAATTTTAGATGAAGATGAACTCTCACCCACTTGTTCGACGTGTTTACTCCGCTGGTGCTTCGTTAAGCCACCTTTCGATTTGCAAACTTTCTCGCAGAAGTTGCAAGGAAACTGCTTCTTTCCTTCTACCTGGAGGGAAAGGTGTAATAACAATTAAGGTTTTAGTAATACTAACGGTATGAAGTGTAACTACCGTATGACTATACCATTTCTATTACCTCTTCAAGCGAGTGTTCAACTTCGGACTGAACCTCCTCAATATCCATCTCGAGAAGTGCCATAGTTTGCTCGAAGTCGGAGCAAAGGCTAACAGGAAACTCGGATTCGTACTCATCATCTATATCCATGTTTCCAATACGTAAAAGCTGAGTTTTATTGTGTCTATTCGAAGAGTATCGCTGTCTGAAGGTTCACTAAATATACTTGTGACTTGAAATATGATAGCTGGCACCCCGTCGATACTATATACAGCGGAAGCAGCTGGACCAATAGCACATAAAAAGGTCTCAAACGTTGCCTTTCGCATAAGTAAAGTACGACAAAAATGCAATATTTATGAAATCGTTGTAAAACTATCGAAAAAATCCAAATTTTCTGATCGGCAACATAAAATTATACTACAAAATTAAAATGTATGCACCTTGACTGTCACGTGATGTCTTTCTTCGAGTTCAAGTATCGAATAGTCACGTGTCACTTTGAAGTTTGCCGGTCTTCCAAACCCTCCCACTACAATAACTATGGGTAGTCGTAGTGGTAGTCAAATCTGAACCTCGCTAATATATATACCAAGTCTCTTTATCATGAATCGTTTCTGTTATGTTTTTCTTGCAGACTTGGAATGGATGTTATCTGAAAGTGGTGCAGTAAAAACAGAGCTTGAGGAAGATCCCAGGAGAAAGCGACAAATCAGAGACGTTATGACATCATCTTTACGTTCGGGTGGCCAACAATATGACGACGATGATGATGATGACGATGACTGATAAATATTTCAAAAATGTAGCGAATAAAAAATATATTTATAAAAACTTGTCTCCGTTGATGGTGTTTTTGTCTACATGAGCTTTGGTTACAGCATGGGTTTCAACCTGAGATGATTTTGAGGTATTGAAATGAGCCTTCGTGACACAAAACAAGCACATGCTATTCCTGGAATGACTACACCACTTCCAGGATCGTGTTATACGCTCATTTTAATACATCAAAGTTATTTATTCAGCATAAAGTCAGAAGTGAGAGAAAGGCACAAACTTTACCAGACCATCTTCATTAAGACCTTTGACAATCTGGAATTGGATAAAGTAAATTAAATAACCATAGTCGTTTAGGGAAAAATCTCGTGGTTTCGTGGTTAAGACAGTGGGCTACCTGGCTTATAAGGTAAGTCGATCGTTCGAATCCAAGCATAACTGTTTTTCATAATGACCTTCGAGAAAAGGATAATTGAAATTAAATAACCATAGCCATACATCACAAGGTCTCCAATAGTCTAGTGGAGAACACAATTGACTCGCAAGTGGTAAGTCGATGGTTCGGATCCGAGCACAACTTTTTTTTTTCATTATGAAGTTGGTGAAAAGGATTAAATCAACATAAATAACCTTAGCCGTTCAGCAGAAGGTATCGTGGTTTAGTGGCAAAGACAATGGTTCCCCAAGTGGTAAGTTGATGGTTCGAATCCCACCATAATCGTTTTTCATTATGAACTTCGCGAAAAGGATAAAGTAAATTAAATAACCACAACCCTTCAGCGCAATATCCCGTGGTCTAATGGTGAAGACAGTGGTTTCCCAAGTGGTAAAGTAATGGTTCAAATCCCACCATAATCATTTTTCATTATGTCCTTCACGAAAAGGATAAAGTAAATCAAATAACCACAACCATTCAACGCAATACCTCGTGGTCTAATGGTAAAGACAGTGGTCTCCGAAGTGGCAAATCGGTGGTTCGAATCCCACCTGTTCCCACCATAGACGTTTTTATTATGAACTTTGCGAAAAGGTAAGTTAAGGGAATAACCAGTGGTGAAGACAATGCTCTCGCAACTTTTAAGTTGACGGTTTGAATCTTGGCGAAGAATGTTTTTCATTTTGACCTTAAAAAGATTTAAGTGAAATAATTAAACATAGCCCCCTCAACATCAAGTGTTGGTCTAATGGTAAACAAAATGGTCGCCCAAACTGAGAGACTGTGATTTCAATCAACTTTCTTTTATCATGCTAATTGGAAATTGTCAAAAATGCAACGTGCACGTACATGTACTATATTTAATTATCTGCGCGTGTGATTTAATTGTGCTTGTGGTCATTCCCGCACTATGTGCACTATTCCATGAAGTCAACAAAATTTTAAATATTGTTAATTCACTTCATTTCTTAACTAAATCAACTGGTTTTAGCTTATAGTAAAATCAGTGAGTTAAAAAGGACACTTGGAACATACTTAAAGGCTATTGCAAAACGATAAAGAGCCAAATTTAATATTAAAAACATTGCGCAGTCGCAGTAAACGAATAATAATCCCACAATCATGAGTTTGAGCAATGTAATATATACTAAGCCCTCGGCTTTTGGACTTTTTGGTGTTGAATCCACTGCGTGTCACGAACTTTTTATCTTTTTCATTATGAACTGAAAAAAAGGTTTAGGTAAAAAAACGTCCTCAATGATCTCCGGCGTGATAAGTCGAGGGTTCGAATCCGAGTATCGTTGTTTTTCATTATGTCCTTCGCGAAAAGGATGAAGTAAATTAAATAACCACAACCGTTTAGCGCAATATCTCGTGGTCTAATGGTGAAGACAGTTGTCTCCGAAGTGGTAAATCGTTGGTTCGGATCCCACCATAACAGTTTTTAATTATGAACTTCGTGAAAAGGATAAAGTAAATTAAATACCCCTAACCGTTCAGCACAGGATCTCCCAGTCTAGTGGAGAAGACAATGCTCTCCCAAGTGGTAAAGCGATGGTTCGAATCCTACCATAATCGTTTTTAATTATGACTTTCGTTAAAAGGATCGATAAACTAAATGAAATAACCATAGCTGTTGAGCACAACATCCCGTAGTCTAGTGGCGAAAGCAATGGTCTCCCAAGTGGTAATCAATGGTTCGAATCCTACCATAACCGTTTTTGATTATGAACTTCCGGTGAAAAGGATAAAGTAAATTAAATAACTTTAGCTGTTCAGCACAAGATCTTGTAGTGTTGTGGTCAAGACGTTAGTCTCACGTGTCGACAGTCAAGGGCTCGAATCTCGTTTTAGATGAAAATTTTCGTTATTAATCAAACATTGTAAGGTTATTATGAATAAGTTGGTGTAGGTTTCCAACAATCACCAGTTAGCCTTGTGGTAAAGTCGTGGACTATCAAGTACAAGATCGTGGTATCAAGAACAGTACGGTACGTTTCTCATGGCGGTGGAAAGCAAAAGAAAAAAAAGAAAAAATGGTGGGTATGCTGCTCGAAGGAGGTATGGCTCCGTTAATCTTTACCAATCAAAGTTAATCTTTAGGGAAATCAGGGGATATGTAGGGTGAATGAGGGGCATATGAGTACAAAAAGACTTAGTAATAAAAAAAAAAGTAGTTGGGCGGCCTCGGCTGCCGGGGCAAGGAAAAGGGTATAGGTGAGGAGGCACCATATAAAATGTTTAAGTCTTTTTGTACTCATTTAAACCTCTTTACCCCTATTTATCCCCCTATTTACTCCTATCTATCCCTGCTTTTACCTATCCTCATATATCCCTGATTATCCCCTAACACGATTAAATGTTTGAAGAAAGCTTGCTTTGAAAGTCAGGAAAGCCGGGGGAAAGAGAACCCCCCTCAGTCTACTCCTCGCCCAAGGCGAGGGCATATTCGCCCTCTCGCACTACTCCTCTCACACTCACAAATTCTCACTTTATTACCTTGTTCTTTTTCGGTTAATCCAGGGCTTGAACCATCGACTGTATACTTGGCAGATCATCGTCCTCACCATTACACCACCAGTTCTTGTGGTGTAAGCCTAGAGTTTTTTATTTTACTTAAACTCGGAGAGCACTGCTTTTACCAGTAGACCGCACGATCTTGCGGTGAAATGCTACACTTTTTGGGTAGGATCTTAAATGAAACTAATAATTTAAATGAGTTCCGTTTCATGTTCATGATTTTTTCTCGTCTAAAACGCACACAATTGTATCTTTTCGTAGCTTGTAAGTTGTCACCTAATATTAGCCACTTACAGTTCTTAAATCACTATCTTTCCATAAGTTAGTTATATGCGGCCCAAGTGAGGCTAATGGTTACGGTGCGATTGTTTTGTATTTTTAATGAAGTGAAATCAAAGTAAAGTACGAGAATTAATAATGTATTTTAAAATAGGTTTAAAAGAAAAAAACTACAAGAATTAAGAATAGCCGAATTCTTATTAGGGCGGATTCGTATTAGAAACTCATCTTAGACGGGAGAGTTGATCGTAAAAACCCGTCTGAATATGAATTGGACTATGGATGAATTTATACGTATGATGGTTCGGGTAATGAGTAATCACCACGGTAATAATTTTGTTTAGTTTCCCTTAGCCTTGTTCCGTCCTTGACGGTGCTTATATCAAAAACTCGTCTGATTTATCCGTCTAAATGCGAATTTAAGCGAGTTTCTCTTCCCGACGGGTTCCCGTCCAACCTACCCGTCTGTTTAGACGGGAAAATTCGGAAGAGAAACGCGTCTGTGATTCACATCTGACGAGTTTCCCGTCTTCGACGAGTCTCCCCTCTAAGACGAGTTTTCTGTCTCTAATATGAATTCCGGCGGCAAAAATGTATGTATAACGCGTATAGTCATGAGGCAACAAGCATGCGCCTCGTGAATCGTTGCCGTAATATTGTTGAGCTGCTGTTTGTTTGTTTGTTACCCAGTTATAACTGCGTAAATTGTGCTTTTGAACTGATCTTTTTCTTAGCGTATTTTATGTTGGACGAATCGGCTAGATCAGCTAATGTTTCGACTCTTAAAATAGTCTTAAAATAAATAGTCAATGTCTGTTTAACTGGATATTTTGCTTCATTTATTTGTGATTTCAGATGTAATCTTCGAGAGTACGAATTGGAGGTATCGGGAATCCCGTCTGGAAGAGAAAAATGAGACGAGTTTCTGATGTATAAGCACGGTCAAGGAGGGTCAAGGCTAAGAGAAACTAAACCAAAATTATTACCGTAATGATTACTCATTACCATCATACGTATAATTTATCCACAGCCCAATTCATATTCAGACAGGTTTTTACTATCAACTTTCCCGTCTAAGATGAGTTTCTAATATGAATCCGCCCTAACATGAATTCGGCTATTCTTAATTCTTGTAGTTTTTTTCTTTTAAACCTATTTTGAAATGCATATGCATTATTAATTCTCGTACTTTACTTTGATTTCACTTCATTAAAAATACAAAACAATCGCACCGTAACCATTAGCTTTACTTGAGCCGCATATAACTAACTATGGAAAGATAGTGCTTAAAGGAACTGTATGTGATATTTTAGCGACAACACAAGTAGCTAATATTAGGTTACAACTTACAAACTACGAATAAGATACAGTTGTGTGCGTTTGAGACGAGAAAAAATTATGAACATGAAACGGAACTCATATAAATTGTTATTTCATTTGAGATCCTACCCATAACGTATTCAGTAATATAAAAAAGTGTAGCATTTCAGCGCAAGATCGTGCGGTCTACTGGTAAAGGCAGTGCTCTCCGAGTTTAATGGCGGAGGTTCCAGTCCCCGATGGGAATTTTTTTTTCTTCTATTTCATCAAAGATCCTTCCAAAAAGGATTAAGTAAAATAAAAAACTCTAAGCTTACACCACAAGAACTGGTGGTGTAATGGTGAAGACGATGAGCTACCAAGTATACAGTCGATGGTTCAAGCCCTGGATAAACCGAAAAAGAACAAGGTAATAAAGTGAGAATTTGTGAGTGTGAGAGGAGTAGTGCGAGAGGGCGATTATGCCCTCGCCTTGG